GTTATTTTTTTGTAGAAATAGAATGAATTTTGTCTACATGTACCATAATTTTAAATAATGTTTATTTACTTTAGCAAAGTAACAAAAAGATTTTAAAAACAAATATAAATCACTTAAAGGCAAAGGAATGCATAATCTGTTATCAAAAGCTGCACTCTAAGAAAACTTTGTTCTCTAAACAGAGAGAAGACCAAATTCCAGTCTGGTACCAGTTTACTGTTAATAACAAAATTTGTTTATCTGCTTAATCTTAGAAAGTCTTCTCCATAAATCTTGAAGAACTAGCAGTATTTTTCTAAAGGCATGAGAGTAAAACTATAGAAGTTTAGAATCTGTTTAGATTTAGAAGTTTAGAATCTGATTCTATTGCAGTTGATAAAGAAACCTTGTCATAACACTTTAATATGATAACTAGAATTATAACTGACTATATTTTATCAGGGCATATCAGATATATATGAATTTCACATAATTTTAGGATATCTATATTAGTAACATCAACCATACAGTATAACCTGAAAAGATTTTTCACCCCTTTAACAGTACTTCCCATGTAATTTAACATGTCCAGTGAGCCCAGGTAGCTTAATAGCTCTTTGGGATGTCTCAGGGGTCCTCTGAAGCATCCCAAAGTTAGCTAGAAGTCAAGTTATTTAGGAAGTTTGGTCAATAAATGTCAAAAGGGTTTATAACACTCAGTCAGGTAGGATCATATAAATTACTGTGAAATAATAGTTATTTACTTAGCCAAAGTTAACAAAAGATTTCAAAGGTAAATATAGATCAGATCAATTAAGAGGTAAAGAAACTTAAATCTATTATTAAAAGCAATTCAACATCTGAAGAAAGTATGTCCTCTTAATAGAGAGAAAGGCCAAATTCAAGTTTTGCACCAGCTTACTTTAAACTCATTTAGGTAAACTTAATTAAATTTATTTTAAACTTAGTCAGTCCTAACTATGCACAAAACTTTTTTAGGGTCCACTTTCCACAAACCTTTTAATCACTTTCTGTAACAGCCATCTGTAAGTCAGACCGACTTTCCTTTTCCTTTATAAAATGTAATTTTATTTCTTTTTTTTTTTGTAATTTTATTTCTTATACCTTCTTTATTAAAAGTATACATCCTACATCCTTATTAGATTAGCAAACATTAATACTAGATATTTAATATTGAATATTTCCCAGTTCACGTGAATCTGAAATTTATTTAGGTTAATTTTTCTTGTATTTAGAATTGTTTGATTTGTAAACACTTTTCTTTAGGCCAATTAAATTAGAACTCATTTACAACTTCAACAATATTATCAGAAAAAAACAAAAGACATACACTGAGACATACATAAATCCACACAGACAGACAGACAGAGATCTTATAGTTTTCTGTTTTGACTCCTTTTTTTTCCTTTGCTTGAAGTTCTAATTTGCCCAAGGCTGAGGTCTCAGGCAAAGTGGGCTGTGTATTTCAAGGACATGGAAAGGGTTAACTTCAAGCTTTTTCCTATGCAGGCCTTTTAACAAGTTAGCTATTTTTAATTGCATATGCAAAAAGAGTTGGTTTTGCAGTTTCCAAAAAGAAAAATTTCTCTTGCTCTGTTCAATCAGCAGTCATGCACTCAAAATCATTCAGAGGCTATCACAATGCCTCCCTTCTCCCGAGTCCCCAGTTTTCCTTCACTGTTGCTGCCTTCCAGGGAGCCCCAAGGAGGTTATCAGTCACAATGCCTTCCTTCTCCCAAGACAGATCGGGGCTCGGCTGCCGGGAGAGTCGCTCAGAACCCAGAATACCGTCAAGTGGTGTGCCTCCTTGTTGGTCTCGGGGTTCCTTCGCTCCAGCCAGGCCGAGCCACCAGTTCGGCAGCTCAAGGGGCCGGCGTGGTTGGAATCTCGCTGGAGCCTCCAGAAATGTTGCAGAAACCAGTACTTGAGAAACCAAGCATCACACTCGGAGAGTTGGAGAACTCAGGTTTATTACGCCGGCGGGCCCAGAGGAGTTAACACTCCAAGCTCTGAGCCCCGAAAAAAGGGGTTACAGAGTTTTTATAGACAGACTACAGTGGGCAACACTACCTGCTAATAGGCTGGTTAAACTAAGGGAGGGGGATGCCTGACCTTTACATGGACAGGCATGATGAAGCAGGTTTGCAGGGGCTGAGCAATTGCAGAGAGCAGGACAAGGGTGAGGGAGATAAGCTCCAGCTCCTAGTATTGTTAAGTCCCCACTTTCTGATACTACATGACCTACGTGATCCAGACTTTGCAAGGAGCCCAGCTGAGTTACAGAGGCAGAAGGAACAGGAGGTGATGTAAAATTTTAACTTTTCCTCTTCAGGACCACCAGTGCGAGTGCAAGTGTGAGTGTGAAGTCGCTTCAGTCGTGTCTGACACTTTGCGACCCCATGGACTGTAACCTGCCAGGCTCCTCTGTCCATGGGATTCTCCAGGCAAGAATACTGGAGTGGGTCGCCATTTCCTTCTCCAGGGGAATCTTCCCGACCCAGGGATGGATCCGCATCTCCTGCATTGGCAGGCAGGTTCTTTACCACTAGCGCCACCGGGGAAGTCCCAGATCCCACATCTTCTGAGCTGAGCTCAGGGCATACATAGGGCCAGCCCAACCTCAGACTGCGGTCCTCCCTCTGACCTGCTCCCGACGGTACGGCCCAGGCAGCCTATGAGCTTCCATCCCTGCTTCCTCATCACTTATTTTGGGTTTCCAACGGAGACTGCAGCCTCAGTTCTTCACCTCCTACGGACCTCATACCCTAGCTGTGTCCTAGAGGACGGTCTGAGCCCCTAGACCTATATTCCAGCTGGAGCACTGACGGCACCCAGGCAATGACCCCTGCCGGCTCCCGGCCATGGCCTTGGACTCTGGGTCTTCCTGAGACCCGGCAGCTCTCTCTGTTTTGCAGCCTGGCTTGCTTCCTTGAGTGGCCCTGGCCCCCAGGCTCACCTCCATCCCCGTCCATCTCCTCCTGAGGCCCCACGGAGCCTCCCTGGGCAGCACTTCAAGCTGTGGAGGCCCGCTCCCCACCCCCACCCCCGCCCCGGCCTGTGTCTTGAGCTTGTCTGCTCTCCGGTGCCTGTGGTCACTCAGATGGCCTCGAGGACTGCTGGGTGCACCCGGGCAGGTCTCTTCACTTCTTCTTCTTTTTTTTAAAATAACTTTATTTATTTATGATTTGGCTGCACTGGGTCTTAGTTGTGGCACCTGGGATCTAGTTCCCTGAGCAGGGATTGAACCCTGGCCCCCTTCATTGGGAGCTTGGAGTTTTAGCCACTGGACCACCAGGGAAGTCCCAGGTCGCTTCACCTCTTTGAGGCTTTGCTGCCCGGTTGCCAAGCAGGAGTAACGGCACCTCTTCTCAGGGCTGGCCTGAGGATTACCTTGTCAAAGGCTTGGCACCAGCTCTGCCACACATCAAGGGCACCGGTGGAGGAGCTGGCGGCCTTGCAAATGCTTTTTCTGACCAGACAGGAGGACCCAGACACACCCATGGAAGTCAGGGCCATCCTGTTGCCAGCCCCAAGGGTGCCGGCCAGCAGAGTGAGGGTGAGACGTGGACAGGCTGACTCTGGGTCGTGGCCCAGCAAAGTGGAGGCGTCCAGGAGACAGACACCTGAGATGTGGGGGTGTGCATGCCAGGGAGGCGAACAGAAGATTTAAGAGATCAGAGCTCAGGGAAGCAGTGGTGGGAAGGTGGGTGGACTGGGCAGCGCCCTGGCCGACAGGTCCAGACCCATGCTGCCAGCTGGGCCGGCACCACCCTTATTCCAGGTGTTTATTTCTCTGTGGGCCTCCCTCCAGGTTTGGTGGGGCCCTGGAGGGCCGGGACCTGCCTTGGCTTTACGCCTACTCCAGATCATGGTGTCTGAACACGGAGCCTGCACCAGGGAGTAGAGATGGAGAAGCTGGGCAGCGTCAGGGAAGACGGTTGTGGGTGGGTGCCCTGCCCGGGTGGGTGCCCTGCCCCCTGCCTTGCGGGAGCTGCTCCTCTCAGGGACCCTGGCAAAGCCCGGCTGAGCAATCAGAACAGGGTCTGTCTGGCCACAGCCCCAGGCTCTAGGACCTTGTTGGTGGAGAAGACTAGGGTTTCTCAAGACCTTGAGCAGTTCAGACTAGGCTCCAAAGCCTCCATCTTCCTCCTCCCTCCCCGAGGTCTTCCCAGACCCTCCTTCATCAGGGAGAGGGTGGGTGTGGGGGCGGAGGGTAGGAGAGGGTGGTGGGAAGGGCCGAGGCAGGCGTGGCCGTTCCTAGCGGGGACAGGCAAGGCAGGCCCTCCTGCGGCCACTGCTTCTCCCATCAGGTCGTTGCCTCTCTCTTCCACCAAACCCTAGGCCACACCTGCTCTCGATCTCCGAGGGGCACTCTCGGACCTGAGGACCCAGGTCCCATGCTGCCTGCACGGGCTGGACTCGGGGAATCTCCCCTCAGAAAGCCGCCTGAGGTGGCCACACCTCCCCTCCCGTCTACCTGGTCCAGCCCCTCTCCGCGGGGATAATGAAGTTATGATGAAGTCAGGAATCTGGGCTCCCAGTAGGTCCCCTCCCCCAGTCCTGTCTCCCCTCACCTGCCCCATCGCCCAGCTGGCTCCTGAGTGCCTAAGCCTGGGTCAAGTGCCTCTCATAGCTCCCCCTGCTGGCCCTGGGCGTTTTAACTGCAGTGAACAATCACTGCTTCCCTCTTGATGAACAAGGGGCACGGGAGGGCAGGGCTGTGCCTGGTAATGCAGGACTGTGCCTGGTAATGCAGGACACTGCACCCCCAGGACCCAGCCCGGGGCCTGGTGCCCAGCGGGCCCTCAGCACATCTCAAACCAGCACCAACCCCTCTTCCTTCAACAAACACACCAGGGTCTGAGGCAGGTGGTGGGCAGTGGCTTCAAACTTTATTTGAGAAAAACAGAAGGTACACGTATCAAAAGAACATAGAGGTTTGGCGGGTGAGGATGGTCAGTGATGGCTACTTGAGGGGTGGGCCGCTGGGCTAAGGGCCTTTACTTGCTTGCCGGCTGTTCGGACTTCCCAGCTTCGGGGCCGCCAAGCTGGGCACGCGCCTGGAAGGTGACGGGAATGGTGATCTCCGCCGACTGCGTGGCTGACTTGGGCAACGGGGCCTCCACGGTGAGCGTGCCCTCAGGGGACAGGGAGGAGGAGACCAGGGTGGGGTCCACACCGGGGGGCAGCCTGGACGGGCAGAGAGGGTGGACAAGTTACACACCAGGGCGTCCCCGCGCGCCCCTCTCCCACCCCCATCCCCGCCCCCCAGATCCGGAGCCAGGACTCACGTGTATTTGCGAGTGAAGCAACGGGAAATGAAGCCGTGCTCGTCCTGCCTTTCCTCGTGCTTGCCTGGGAGGAGGGGGAGGGGAAGTAGGTCAGGGGAGGCAGGGAGGGGCGGCCTCGCCGGCTGGCCCGCGGCCAAACGCGCCCCACCTGGTGGCCAGGAGTCCGGGCTGGCAAGACTGACTGAGGGATCTGGGTGCCTGAGACTGTCACAGAAACTCAGAAGCTTCTGGAAAGTTCGGGTTCAGGGGCTTGGCGAGTAGGGGGTGAGGGTAGAAGCGCGGCTCAGGGTAGGCGCACACGCTCCCTCCGCGGACCCGGGCTGGGAGCAGTGACCGTGATGTGGGGGGATGGGGGGCAGGGCCGGGAGGGCGACGCCTTCTTCATACCGACTGCGGGCCCGGGTGGGTGGGGCGCGGGGGAGGGTGTCTGGTCGCTTGGGGGCGGGGCTGGGGTTGAAGGGGGTCTCCGCTGGAAGGGAGACTTTTCCTCAGTGGAGACTTTTTAGGGCTAAAAGATCCGTTAGGAACTCCCAGCAACCCCCAACTCCAGGGAAGCGGATACAGACCAGGGGTAGGGCGAGGAGCCCGGGCCCAGCTCCGGGGGCTCCCCCCACCCTCCACTCCCCACCGCCCATCCTCCGCTAGGTTTTCACTTTCCAGCGGCCCCCTCTTCCCTTCCACGTTTCAACCCAGGGCTCTTCCTCGGGACCCGCGAGAGGCGGGGGGCCGGCGTCCTCAGTCCGCGGGGTGGGGTGGGGGGTGCTCACCAGTGATCTCCACCACGCCGTCCTTGGTTTTGACCGTCAGCTCCTCGGGGGCGAAGTGGTTGACGTCCAGGGACACGCGCCAGCGGTCGGCGGTCTGCTGGATCTCGGAGACCCCGCTGCTGAGCTGCCGGCTGAGCGCGCGGTTGTAGGCGGGACCCTCGATCGCGGCGGCGGGCAGCGCGCGCACGTAGCCCGGCCATCCGCTGTGGCTCAGCCACTGCGACCACTCCTCGGGCAGCCGGGGCAGCCCGAAGGCCTGGTCGAAGAGGCGGCTGTGGGCCGGATACCAGTCGCGGAAAGGGTCCCAGCTGGGGCCCCGCAGGAGCGAGAAGGGCACTCGGCGCTCGGCCATGCTGGCTGGTCTGGGTGCGTCCGGAGGAGGCTCGGAGAAGCGGGAGAAGTGGCGGGCGCAGGACCCCACAGCGCTTTTATGGGCCTCCAGCCGGGTATTTTTAGCAGGCGGTGTTTCAGGTCTCTATTAATGGCAATGGCTGGCCAGGGGCAACCCCTCCCCCTGCATTACCGCCCCCCGCCACTGCATACCGGGGCGCGGGGCGGGGCGAGGAAGGCCCTGCCCACATCTGGAACCTTCTCTTGTTCGAGAAAACAAATGACTAGAGTCCTGATGTCGGCGCACTGCCCCTCCTCGGAGGCCTGAGTGCTAAAGCGCTGGGCCGCGATCTGTGGACAGTCGGGGAGGACAAAGCCGAGAGAGAGAGAGGTCGGGCAATTAGTCCCAGGCTATACAACTAGGAACTGGCAGAGCGAGCCAGGATTTGGACAGCAGCGTGTCTGTGAAATAATGCCTTCAGAAGCAGCGTGGTTAGGGCCATCTCGGGAGGGAGACCGGCTGAGTTCACATACAGGTTCTGCCACTCACTGGATGAACTTGTGCAAATTGAGTCTTTTGCCTCAGTTTCCCCATCGGAAAAATGGGGATGATGATGGTGGTGATGATACTGCTTTCATTGCTGCGTTAATTTGAAGATTCAGCCACTTAATGCAAATAAACATTTTAGCCCAGGGTACATGATAATGAATATAGTTATTAGCCCCTGAAGTTGAAAGAGGGGGCAGGAAGGAGAGCATATGTGTCTCCCTGTTGTAGAGGCAATGGTGTGTGTAGGTTTGGCCATTTGCCCCTGACCCCCAGTGGAGTAGACTCAGATCACAAACCCTGAGGGCCAGTGCTGAGAAGGGGTCAGGAGGAAGGTTATGATCAAGTCTCCCTATTACATCTAGTTTTCTGAAGGAGCCCTCGAGAGGGGAACTTGAAATGCAGCAACCTTGACTCTAGTCTGGGCTTTGCTGTTTGTGTGATTTGGGCCAATACTCCTTTCCCTGTTTGCAGATTATTATCTCAGAGCCTGTTCTGTTGAATATTCCCACAGACAGGGAGAGGGGGCAGTTCCTTCAAACTTGCTTGGAGCCTGAGGCCCGCCCCTTCTCCTGTCTGACCGCCTGTGAGATCCACGCCCCCACTACCCACTCTGGGAAAGGATGCTGCCCCTAGCTTCCTGCCATAATCCTAACATTCTCTCTCTCTCTCTCTCCTGCCTTCTTTCTGACATATGTCCTGTATTCCTCCTTTTTCAGTGAGGAAGCAGGTTTGGAGAGATGAAGTAACTGGCCCACAGTCTCGCGTAAGACACTAGTGGAGTAAGGCTCTTATCTCTCTAGTGCTCAGGGCTCTTCCCCTTTTCGGGCTCCCACCTTGGGCTCCTCTTGTTTTCTCTCCTCCTGAGACCTACTCTGCTTGCTGCCTGCGCCCCCACCCCCACCCCCCCCCACCCCCGACCAAGGGTCTCAGCTTCAGGAAGCCCCAGGCCTTAGCTCCCTGGCACTCCCAGCCCCACCCAACCCCAGCTCTTAAAGTCAGGGTGAGGTCAGGAGCCAGGGAAGGCCCTCATCCACTCCTGCCTGCCCACCTCAGCCCAGACTGGAGCCAAGGTGCCCCACCCTCGTGGGAGCTGTCATGTATAATCACAGATGCTTTCAAGTTCGGCCCAGCCACGCTCTGGGTGGGGGCTGCCTGCCTGGCTGCCAGTACCTTGCAGACAGAGGCTCCTTTCAGAGCTTCCTTCGATTTGCCTGAAACCAGGGTGGGGAGGTCCCATCCCTGTTGCCCCAGCCAGGGGAAGTTGTGCAACCCAGAGCGCCTCCCCCAGCACTCAGCCCATGGCAGTGGGGGTGGCAGAAGACAGAACTGAGAATTCACATCTTACTTTTTATTTTTTTCAACACCATGAGACTTGTAGGATCATAGCTCCCCAGCCAGAGGATTGAACCTGGGCCCTTGGCAGTGAAAGCATGGAGTCCTAACCAATGGACCATCAGGGAATTCCCCATGTCCATCTTCGGTGGGTCATTTCTTGAGGGACTCTGATCAAAGCTGCCAGTCACAGGGGAGGGGACCTGGGTGGCTCTCGGTGGTGGTAAGAGGGGGTGAGCAGGGGAGAAACTGGGTTTTGGGGTCAGACTGGGTGGGGCGTGAATCTGCTGCTGTTCACTGGCCTTCTGACCTCGCTGAGCCGGCACGTCCCCATCTGCAAGCCGCAGATAACCACACACCCATCTTTCAGGGCTGTGCTGAGTCTATAACCTGATAACCTGGTGCTCAGAAGTGTTCATTGTTATAATAACAAAAGAGGAAAGAGGGCCTTTAATCTTGGATATTGAGACTTAGATTAATGAGAAATACCTGGGTGGATGCACTTTACAGCAAGAATCTTATCAGAATCTCATTTTGGAGATGAGAAAACTGTCACAACTGGCCTAAGGTCACAAGGCTGGTTATGGGTGGACGGATTGGAACCTGGGGCCTCCTGCCTCTCCGGCCTGGGAAGTCCATCCAGGGAGGGCTGTGGGCTGCGGCGAGATGAGGGGTGCAGCCCAGGGTTACCTGTGGGGCAGGGACGGTGGGGCCGGCCTCTCTGGGTTCACTTCCAGCCCTGACCAAGCAGAGCACCCTTCTTCCAGGGGACTGAGCTGCCAGGGGTAGCTGCCAGCAGTGGTGATTTAACTCCACCCCCAGGGATTTCCCAGATGCCAAGAGGTTGGGGGGCAGGTGGGCACTGCAGGGACTCCTTAATCAGAGGGCCCCTCCCTTCATCCCCAGCCTCAAAGTCTGGGGTACCCTGCAGCAGCCTGGAGACCAGCCTCCTGGCCCTGTGCCCGAGGCCTCAGCCACATTAGCCACTCCCTTGGCAAGCCTTTGCCAACTGACTGTTCCAGCCCCTCCTTCCCTTGGCCCAGCCTCAGAGAAAGCTCGAGAGTGTTCAGGCAGCTACTGGAGCTCCCAGGAGAGGCCTGACAGCTGATGAATTGCTAGTCGTTGGGCCTGCTGGGAACTAAAAATGTGGGCAGCCATAATTAGACAGCAAGGGGGTGGGGGGCACTGGGTCTCTCTGGAAGCATCTAGATTCTTCTCCTGCAGGAGTTCATTTCCACAAACCCAGCTCCTAACTAAGCCTTTGGCTTCCTGCTGGCCTGGGGGGTCGCCTCATCTCCATCATCACTGAAGTGGGGGGGGCACCAAGGAGGGGCCAGGTGGGAGGGCTGGGGTTCCATCCTCTTCTCCTTTCTGCCCTGCTGTCCAGCAACAAGAATCTGTCAGGCTTGGGAGTCTGGGGACGTCCATGTCTCTGACTATGACCTTGGCCAGGGGCCGGTCTCTATGACTCATTTGCTTCATCTGTACGGTGAGACCATTGGACTGGATGTTCTCGAAGACTCCTTCCAGCGCTGGTGAATCAACAGATTCTCCTCCACTCTCTCTCTCCCCCCCCCCCCCAACCCCGTCCTGCAGCCCCTCCCCCCAGGGATGTGCGTATGGTGAGAGGAGATGGGGCCAGAGGATGCTGAGATGTGGTCTCCCCAGTGGGCGTGGCTGTTGGAGGTGGGCGCCCCGGTGGCAGGAGCACCCTCATGGGCTGGGTGTCCTGAGAATCCTGTTCCAGGTGGAGAGGAGCTTGGCAAGGGAAGGGCAGGTGCCTGGTGATGCAGCTGGTTTGCTGAACATGCCCTCAGCTAAAGAGAGGCCGGGCAGGAGGCCAGGTGGCTTCGAAGAGCGTTTCAGAGAGGCAGGGGAGGGGGGGTAGTCAGCTGGAACCCCCAAATTGGGCATGTACACTTGTGACCTGCTACCTTGGGCCTGGGGCTGTAGGAGACGGATTAAGAAAAGGGGGAGGATTTGCCAGGAGACAGGAAAGCCTCGTCCAGCCTCCTGGCTGCTGTGTGCGTTGGCAGGGAGTGGATGGAGGGGTCCCTGAGGCCCCGCATGCAGAGGAGAGGACTACTACGCCCCAAACACCACATCTTCCAAAGTTTCCCCCACCCCTGCCCCCATCTCCCCTCCTTGCTACCCGCTATGGAATTCAAGTTTCCTGTTTTCCTGCCTGCCTTCCAGTGTTTTTCCCTTTTCCCAAGGTCAGAGCAGAAGAGTGTCGGCTGAACCCTCTGTCTGGGGGAGGGATGGGCGGGGGGGGTGGGGGCGGCTGGTACCCTCCCTGTCCTTTTCAGGAAAACAGGTGCCAAGTACCCAGCGGAGTGCTGAGGAGGAGAGCATCGGGCTTTCAGGCTGACACGGACCCTCCCCCAGGGATCTCTCCTCTCAGTCCTGGCCACTTTTGTTTCGCTCTGGCCAGGGACCAACCCGCAGTTTTTTCCCTTCTCTCTGTCGCCCTCTAGGGTCTTCCTGCCGCCACCTCGCCCTTCGTCTCCACCCTGCCCTACAATGGCCGGAAGCCCTCATTTCTCAGTTGCCTCGTTCACCCCTTTACTCATTCAACAAACATCTCAAGGGTGCCTGTTTGCGGGATGCAGAAATAAGAAGGCACGGCCTGGGCTCCAGAGGCTCACAGATTTAGGGTGAGCAAGACATGCCAACAAATAACTGCATCAACAGTTTGATGCCCTGGGACTTCCTTGGTGGCTCAGTGCTGAAGAATCCGCCTCCCGAGGCGGGGGTGGGGGGTGGGGGGGGGAGGACACGGACTCGGGTTCAGTTCTTGGTCGGGAAATTAAGATCCCATGTGCCTTGGGGCAACTAAGCCTGCAAGCTGAAACTACTCCACACAAGACGGTCTCCCAGCTCTGCAACAAGAGAAACCCCCAAGGTGCAATGAGAAGCCTTAGCACTGGGGCTGGTGGACTGCAGGTGGGGAGAGAGCAGAAATGAGCCGGTCATGTTGCACAGTCCAAGGTCAATGGGCAATACCCCCAGCACTGAGCGGGACATCCCCTGAGTGATGAGGAGGCTGCACTGAGTTTCAGCAACCCCTGTCGGATCCACAGGTGTTTCTGGATCAGATCACCCTCCATCCAAAGGTCCCGGTCGCTCATCCCATTTTATAGATGAGGAAAACGTGCAGGGCAGAGATGGGGGTTCTAACCAAGATGCAAGCTGGGAGCTGGCCTCGAGCCTGGGGGCTGGAGCACAGGGGCCACCAGCAGAGGACTGACCTCATAAGGCCGAGAGGGCCTGTGGTCCCCCCAGCTAGTGGCTGATGCAGCTGGATGAAGCTGCAACCCTGTCTGCCCAGATCCCGTGTTCCCTCTGGGTGTCACCTCCCCTCGTGGTCAGCAGAATAGAGGCTCCCAAAGAAGTCCTATTGGAGAAGGAAATGGCAGTATTCTTGCCTGGAAAATTCCATGGACAGAGGAGCCTCGTGGACTATAGTCCTTGGGGTGGCAAAGAGTTGGCCATAACTGAGCGATTAAACAACAGTACCATAGCAAAGACCCAGTGCTGCCAAAGAAAACCCCAAACTGTTTGATGCCCTACAGGCAGGAACAGACCCAGGGCTGGAGAAAACCAGGGGGAGTGGCCACTGCAGCTGGCAGTCAGAAAGTCTCCTTGGAGGAGGAGGCAGCTGAGCTGGGCCTAAACCAGGAGCTCCCAGGGAACCAGAGGACAGGGCACATGGGGAGCCAAGGGACCCTCCAGGGAGGAGGGTCCGCTGGAGTCAAGGAAAGGGATGGGAGTGGAGGTTGGAGGGTGGTGGAGGAGAGGATGGCAGTTTCAGGCGGGGCCATTTGGAAGGCCTTCCAAGCCCTATGCCTGGTGGATGTGATCCTGGGATCCTCAGGGTGGGGAGTTCTGCTTCATTAATTCCAGTACTGGGTCCTCAGAGCACATAGTAGGTATTCAACAAGCCTGTTGGGAGGAGTGGGGGAAGGGTCAGATTGGCATTTTAGATATGGTGGGAGGGGTAGGCCAGCTAGTGAGGACGTGGGCATGGGAGGAGGGGTCGTGGGGAGAGGCTAGGTGCCGGGGGCAGGGTAGAAAAGGGAGTGGTTCTGCCTGGTCACAGCCTGACTGTGGGGTGTGGATGAGGAAGGCAGGGCAGGGAGGGAAGGGAAGGGAAGGGGGAAGGCGGAGGGGCAGGGACAGCTTTGGGCTGGGTGTGAGACAGGCTGAACTTGCATGCCCACCTTCGGGTTGTTTCATGCCCCGCCCTGAATCCCTCCAAAAAAGTGGCATCTCTAGAGTAGACCCAGTCTGCTCTCCCTGTAGCCCCAACCCTTGCCTGAAGCCCAGGTCTTGCTGAACCCGTGTAAAGGGTTAAAGAGATCACCAGTGCTTCTTTGAACAGCTTCCTCAGATCAGAAACAAGCCAGTGGCCAGAGGCCTCCTCAGGTGCCCCTTCCAGCCTGAGGGAAAAGAAACTAGAGAGGGGTCATGTGTGGACACTGCCGTAGGCTTCAGGGCACGGCACCCCCTCCCCAATTGCAGCCCAGCCCAGACCCGGGACATCTCCTGTATCAGGGCTCACGCAGCCCAGAGCCGCAGTCACGTCCACTGCCCTCTCAGGAGAGGTGGGCAGGGCTTCTTGACCTGTGGGGCCATAAAGGACTGCAGAGTGTCTGTGAGATACCAAGCTGCCTGCAGATGGGGGCGTGATGGCCTCCTTTCAGATTCCCAGAGAGCAGCTGATTCAAAGCAAGGTTAGAATCTGTTACTCTTAGAGGAGAAGGAAGATGAGCAGAATGTGTGTATTTGTTTAGATCTACATAAAAGAATCTGTCTGCAATGCGGGAGACCTGGGTTCAATCCCTGGGGTGGGAAGATCCCCTGGAGGAGGGAATGGCAACCCACTCCAGTATTCTCGCCTGGAGAATCCCATGGACAGAGGAGCCTGGTGGGCTACAGTCCAGAGGGTCGCAAAGAGTCGGATATGACTGAGTGACTAACACACACAAGTAAAAGAAAGAAATACAATGTAAGTAGCTAATAAAAACAACGGCAAAAAGCCACACCAAGCTCTCCCATCAGAGCTCCCATCTTTCAATCCCCATCCTAGTCCCCAGCCAGGGCTGGACACACAGTGTTTTCTATAAGTGGCCCCCCATGGGTGACTTGCTGTAGGGCAGGCAGGCCCTGTGCCGAGCACTTTCAGGACAATATTCCCCCTTTCAGCTTCCTCCCAGCCCTGCGTGGAGCCCGGATTCACAGCCAGTGTTGTTCTGAGCTGTGTTCCAGCTGTTCTGAACACCCCACCTGTAAGGAAGGTCCTGCATGTGGACTTCGCGTTCCCATTCTCTGCTGAAGTGAGGCCAGGTGTGGGGGGGTCGGGGAAAGAGGGGTGTTCAAAGCCCACAGGGCGGGTCTTGCCTGGTGGTAAAGTGGCTGACACTCCGTGCTCCCGATGCTGGGGGCCTAGGTTCCATCCCTGGTCAGGGAACTTAGATCCCACATGCCGCAACTAAGACCCGGAGCAGCCAAATAAATAAAAATAAATATTAAAAAACCAAAAACAAAGCCCACAGGGCCTCCAGGCTGGGAGGAGGAAGGCCTTTTGGGGGCCCCCGTTTTTCTCCCCACCGATCTGCAGACTCATGCGTGGAGGCACGAGGTGGAGGTGCTGCACCCTGGTTCCCCAGTGCCCGCTCTTCTCCTGGGCATTTCTCATTTCTCGGAGGGAAGGACCCCAGGACCCCTCTCTCTCCCTCCCTGCACGCCCCAGGTACTCAAATCCACAGAGGCCTGGTCTCATCACCTGCCGTCCGGGCACCGAGTGTTTATTATTTAGAGTCCAATTTCTGTCCGCACCGCGGAGAAGGAAGGGGAAATTGGGGGTGGGGGGTGGGGGGAGGAAACCCGGATCAGACCCCAGACCCCTCCCCCCACTGGAGCCCAGGGCGTCTGCCCTGTTGGGCCAAGGAAGACTTTGTGAGATCCCTGAGGGCCCCGGGAGGAGGGGGCTGGGAGCAGCAGGAGAGGGCTGGGGGCTCACTGTTTCCCCATCCGTCCATCTGCCTGTGCCCCAGGCCACCACCCTCAGTCTAGAGTCTACCCTTCCTTCGAAGGGCTGTAGCACCCCTCTCTGGGAGAGGAGGAACGAGTGCTCCCCCTGGCTCCCTGCTCGCGTGGGCACACCCTGGAGTGCACGTCATCCTATGCCTGCGCCATCTGGCCCAGGTCCCAGCCACGGGGCACGCCGGGGCTCCGGAGCCCGCTTGGTCCTCCCACTGCACTGCTTTCCCCCCCACAGGCTCCTCCTCCATCCCCCCCTTCTCTCTTCCACCTCCTGACCCGGACCCCGTTTGATCTCAGGGTCAGAGGCAGCTGGGGTCTGTAGGGCCCACCTCGGATCACGTAGATGGAGATGGCCTGGCTGGCAAAGCCCTGGCCCAGAAGAGCACGGGGCGACGGCTGGAGGGGAGAGCCTGGCCTGGAGAGGTGGGGCCAAGGGTGAGCTCCCTGGGCCCACAGGCTGAGGCTCAGGGGCCCCACCCAGTCTGGGCACTCTTGGGCCAGGGAAGGGGTTTGCGGAGGCCGCGGGGCCAGCCTCCAGCCTGCAGCCAGGGTCCTCCTGCAGCCAGCTCAGAAGGAAGGGGTTCCCCAGCCTGGAGGGTGGTGCACCAAGGGTTAGGCCGTCCCTCCTTTTGTCTAACTTAGCTCCAGCCTGCTGTCCCACTCCGTGTCGGCCCAGCGCTGGAGAGGAACTGAGGGCCCTATGGAGTGGCAGGGGAGGCTCCCAGGTCTGGCACTTTTAAGAGGGTGTCCCTGGCTCCACTGGACTGAGGTCCTCAGCCTGGTGAGCTGGCATCAAGCAGGAAAGGGTGATGATCCCTGTGTTCGAAACGGCTCTTTGTTCCCTGGACTGGGTGGGTGAGCAGGAGGTGGGGTGGGGACCCTCTAGAAGCAGCAGAATCCAGCTCCTCTTTGTCTTCAGGGCACCCACCACCCTCAAGGTCTTCCCCTGTCCCGGGACCTCTTTGTCGCAGTGGGGTGCAGGCCCCACCGCCTCCCACGGCTCCTGGGGCCCGAGCCCTGGCCTTGCCCTGTGCCAGGGGGCATGAAGCTGGGTTCACTGGGCTCAGAAGCCCCCACTCTCTGAGCTGCTCCGGCTGTGGTAGCTGGGAGTGGGGGTCTGGGAGGGACTTCGCGTGCGGCTGCGGGTCCGACTGCGGCTGCTGTAGCTTCCGTGGCTGTGGCCGGGGCTGGGGCTGTGACTGGGGCTCCGGCTTGAGTAGTCGCTGCTCAGGCAGCTGGAGGAGGACGAGGGGCTGGGTCGGTAGTAGGGGATGGGACGCTTCCGGGCACTGCCGGGAGGGAAAAGCCAATTACAGGCCATTCGGGGCCCTGAGCTCTGCCAGTCCCGGGCCCTCACTCCGGCCCTGAGCCCATCCCCAGCAGTGGCCAGGGCTTCCCTGCCTCAGTTTCCCCTGACCTTGGCCTTGGAATTCTCCCCGCCTCCACCCCTGCCCCCACAGGATTAGACAGGCAGTGGTTCCTAGCCAAGTTCACGTTGATCGCTTTGTTTTTCCTGCAGGGAAAGGGGACCAAGTCTCTGCTTGATCGAAGCAGGTGCTCGATAAATATTTGTTGAATAAACGAAACTTTTAAATACAGTCAACTCACATCAGCCAAGCTAAGCAGCAGCTTCTGTGCCTGGGAGGGTTTGTGAATACGGCTCAGTCTTGCATCTTTGTTCCCCAAAGAATTTAGGATTTTGGTTTTCAGGTCACTCAGAGGGAACAGGAGGCCGCTGGCCACTGCTGCCCAGGCCCAAGGCCCTGGCCGAAGCCCACCAGCCCCCCACACCTTACTCCGCTACCTCCCCCTGGCCCGGAGTTAGTCTGAAGCCAGGAGACTGTGACCCAGAGGAAAGAAAATAGAGTTAAGGAGGCAACAGTGCCCCACTGCATGGGGTTAATTCTGAGAAAGAAAACAGGTATAAGTTAGTTGGCAGGGGAGGAGGAGGCAGCCTGGGAGCGGGCAAAAGAGGGTGCCAGGTGGAAGGCTTGGAGGTCTAGCTGTCTTAGGGCACCCTGCTTATGTGGGTATCTAGTGGAAGGGATAGCCGAAGCCTGGCGGGCTGGCCTCTAGCTCTGACAGGAGAACTGAAGCCCAGAGAGGCAGACTTATCTCCTAAAGCAGCCCAGCAAGGCTGGAGCAGAGCCGGCCTCAGCATTTTGCCTGTGGCCCTTTACCCCATGTCAGGGACCTGGGGCTGCACAGAGATTTCCACAAATGCAGACCATCCTCTCACCTGGAGACGCAGGCCCAGAGCCCCCAGTCCTGATAGACTGTGTCTATCAGGGGGAGGGACTGGCTCCTCTCCCAACTGCCCCGGAGACCAGACTGCTGTTGCCCCCTCCTCCAAATTTCCCCCCAGGGTTGGGGGGCAGGGTGGGGGGGCTGGGAAATGAGCAGAAAGAGTTAGTGAGAAAAGGAGAGGCAGGCGGACAGCTGAACAGAGCCAGTCAGCTCACATGGGTATCTCCCCTGCGGCCTGTGGAGACGGGGTCCACCCGGCCCCCAGGCTGGCCACAGGCCACTCAGCAGGCTGGACCTTGAGATGAAGGAGAAAAGGAGAGAGACATCATTGCCAGGAGGTGAATGAGGGGCGGGAAGGAGGAGGGAGGGAGGGGCTCCAACAGGGATGGCTGAAATCTTCCAGAGCCGAACTCCTTGCCTGCTGCTATCCCCAGACCGAGTACCGTCTCCCGCCCCTCCTCCTGAGCCTGCCCCTGTCTTCGGGTCCCACCCGCCCCCTCCATTTCCCTTCCCCAACCCCCACCTCCTCTCCTCCGGCGCCCCGCCCCTGCACCAGGTTCAGTGGGTGGGGGACCCCCGCGGTCCCCCGCGGCCCGGCCCCTGCCTACCTGGTGATGCGCCGCGGCTCCATGAAGCTGGGCGAGTCCCGGCGCCGCTTGCGGATGGGCGAGTAGCTGCGGGAGCGGCGCCGGGCGCGGGCGGCCTCGGCCTCGGCGTGCCTTGCGCGGCTCTCCGCGTCCTTGTCCCTGCGGGGACCGGCCCGGGGTGAGCGACGCGGCCCGGCCGCCCCCGGCCGGTCCCGCCGCCGCCACCCCTGGGCCCGCACTTACCGACCCAGGGTTTTCTTGGGCGACGGCGAGCGGCTGGGGCTGCGGGCCCTCTTCTCCGCCGAGCGCGAGCGGGATTTGGAGGCCGAGCGGCTGGAGCTCCAGGAGCGCGGGTGCGGGCCCGGGCTGCGCGACGAGCTCCTCCCCTCGGGCCCGCCGTGCCTGCCCGGGGACGGCGAGGTGCTGGCGGGCCGGGCGCGCGGGGCCCGCTCCTTGGCCCTGGAGGAGGGGGCACGGCGACAGGAGAGGGGACGCTCAGCTGGCAGAGAGTGGGCCCCGAGCAGGGGAGGGGGGGCCCGGGTGACAGAAAAGGGAATGAGGGGGCCCCCTCGAGGGGAAAGGTCTTGGGAGGGGAAGGGGTTCTATGGGGTTGGCGATGGGACGGTGGCGGTGTTAGGGGAGAGGCAGGCAGTGGGTTCCAGGAGGAGGGAGGGGGACTCTGCTGGGGGAGAGGAAATCAGTGAGGAAGAGGCCTTTTCCGTGCCGTCGAGGGAGAGTGATCTTGGGGTTGGAGGGGCAAGTAAGAAAGGAGGGTTTGCTAGCGTGGGAACAGGGCCTGGATCTCAGCGGGGAGATGGGGGAGAGGTCTGCTTGGGCGAGAGGGGAGGGATGGGGCGCTCAGTGCGTGGGGAGGGAGGACCACCAGGGAGAGGAGACGGCTCTGTGGGGGGGAGTGTTCCCTCGGGGAGGGCAGTGCTCCCTCAGAGGAGGGTGATCCGCGGGGTGGGAGGAACTCGGTGCGTGGAGAATGACGGGGGCGAGGGCCTGGTGGGGAGAAGGGGCTGGCGGGTGGCGGGGGGCTGTTCAGTGCGGGGAGGGGAGAGGGCTCCGTGGGGTTAGAGTGTTCCGTCGGGGAGGGCAGCGCTCCCTCGGAGGAGGCCAAGTGAGGGGAAGGGGCCGGTGGGGAGTGGGGGCTGGGGGAGCAGGGCTCAGGCTCAGTGCGGGGAGGGGAGCCCCGGGCGGGTCCCAGGGGCCGAGCCCGCTCACCGTTTCCCGTGCCCGCCGTGGCCTCGCTCGGAGCCGGGCTCGGGCCCGGGGTCGGGGGCGCCGCCGCCCGAGTCGCTGCTGGAGCGGGCCCTGCTGAGCGAGCGCGACGAACCCCGGAGCGGCGCGGGCCGGGCGCGCCGGCGGCCCCTGCGGCGGGGCGCGGAAGCCGAGGACCGCGATCGCCGCCTCCGCCGCCTCCGCCGCCGCCGCCTGGCCGCCCCGCCCGCCGCGCGGCCTCCTCTGCCCCGCGACGACGGCGCCGGGCGCGGGCTCGGGCTCTCCTTCCCCCGCGCGGGCGGCGTGGCTGCGCCGGCCTCCGCCTGGTCGCGGGCCCTGGGTGAGGGCGAGCTGGGCTTCTGACGGGGAGAGAGGCAGAGAGGGCACGGAGCGGGGTGGAGAGGGGACGGGGCGGGGGCGACAGGGGCGGGCAGAGATGGGGCAGAGACGGAGAATCCGGGGGGGGGGGGGCAGACAGAGCCGAGCAGAGAGGAAAGAGACGGGGGAGAGGTTAGCGCAGCAGAGAGGAAGGAGAAGACAGACGGAGAGAGAGGACAGATCCAGAGGAGGAACGTGAGAGGGCGAAGGGGGAGAGAGAGGGCGGGTGGGGCGGGGGGAGAGAAGGAGAGGGAGCTTTCACCGGGCCCGGGCCGGGGGCCTGCCAGTCCCGGAGCATCGCACACACGGTTCCCCGCGCCTGCCCTGCCTCTGCCTCTCCTGAGTGTCCACCTTCTGGCCTCAACAGTGCAGCTCATGCAAGGTTCTCGGCATGCAAAACACAAGAGGGACGGAGCGGTGGGGGCGGGGGGGGGGGCTGACAGGGAGGGGCATCCAGGACGGGCACGGGGGGGGCTGGCATCGCCCCCCACCCTCGACGGGACGGAGGATCCCGGCAGAGAGAAGAGAGAGGGCGGGCACCGGGGAGGCCGAGCCAGGGCCAGCCCACCAGGCCAGGCTGCCCGGCGAGTGGGGGTGGGTCGGTGGGTGGGTGGAGGAGGGGGCACACGGCACACAGATAGGGTGGGGGCGGGGCCGGACAACTGAACTCAAAACTGAACCGAAGAAAGGGAGGAAAAACAGAAATTAAAAAAAAAAAACAAAACAAAATCCACAAATGTCATTAGATACCAAAAATCAAAAACAATGTCTGAACTCCTGGGGAACTGACATTTTTCTGTTAACATTTTTTTTCTTTGTTTTCCGACCCTGCAGAGATCTGTGGAGCTGTCAGTAGCACCCGACTGTCTTTCTGTTTCTCTCTTTTCTTTTCCTTTCTTTTTCTTTTTTTTTTTTAAGTTCTGATTTTTTAAGTCCCTCTTGGTTAACGTCCACTTACCAATAAAGTGGCACTTCCTCCTTTAGTAGGTAAGATGTGTAAGAGAAGGGAAAAGTGTGGTAGCGTAAGTTCATCATTAGATTCACAAAAATGCAAGAGAGATAGAGAGAGAGAGAGAAAAACGCAACCACCCCATTCTAGGCCAAGAGGAGGCCACGCCGCCTCTGGAGGAAGGATCGGCAGCGCCCGGCTCCTTGGGCCTGTGCCCAGGGTCACCTCTGGAGCGACCGCTGGATAGAGATGTGGAATGTTTCTCCGAAAGTGGACTCAGGACACAAGGATCGGGCTACAGAAAACCAGAAAGGGCACTTGGTACTGTCAGAAGAGCCCTAGCTGGGAACCAGGGCTCTGAGAGCCTGCCACTACTGAACTCACTGAGTGACCCTGGCCAAGTCGCTTGCCTGTAATGGGCCTCAGTTTCCCATCCACAAAATGACAGGGCCAGACTTTGCTTCTGGCTGTCCCTTCCAGAGCAAATGTTCCAGGACTCCCTGACTCCCCTTGCCGTCCCCCTCCCTCCCCAGAACTGACCCTTCTTCCTGTCCTTGGGCTTCCAGCCAGTAACAGTTGATTGTACTTGTCTGTGAGTCTATCTGTCCCTCATTCCTCCCCATCGCTCAGTCACCAGCACCAACTTGACTTTGAGCACCTTCAGGGCCAATCTGGTGTAGGAGTCAGCTTTGTAACCTCAGTTTTTGTTGGGTTTTTTTTGCTGTACCACACTGGAGCAGCATGTGGGATCTTAATTCCGCAACCAAGGATCGAACCCATACCCCCTGCATTGGAAGTGCAGGATCTTAACTACTTAACCAGGGAAGTCCCCTGTAACCTCAGTTTTTATCACAGAACTTGGCATCTAATAGGGCCTCGATACAATTTACTGAGGAAAGAAGACATGTCCTTTCACAGGCCAGGGCCCAACCAGGGAGTCCTGGGAAAGGGGCAGGGTCTGGTCCAAGCTCTTTTGGCAGCCTCTTAGGAGGAGAAAGCAAAACCAGCTGCCATGTCTCAGGGCACCTTACTGCCAGGGACGGGAAGGAGTGTGGCTTCCTTGGTATGGCCCTGGGTACTTCCGGATGGGGGGGTGTGGGGGGTTGGGGGTGTCAAGACTTCTCTGTGCAAGCATGAACCCATAGACCAAGAAGTCAGCCCCCCTCGGGGCAGGGCGTAGCTAGCTCGTGATTGGTGGCTGCAGCAGTCAGCGAACACCAGCCATGGCAGGGAGAGCAGCTGTTCAAAGCCCAATGGGCCATGAAGTCCTGGGAGAGCCTCTGTTTAGAGCAGAGGCAGGCATAGGCAGGCAGAGTGGATATCACTGGGGATTGGGGTGCCCCTTGAGCACCCTGACCTTCCCGATCACCAGCTCACCTCTGCTGGGAGAGATGGAGACTGGAGTGTTCAGCCATGGCCCCTCTGAAATGGCAGTCCATTCTCAGTAGACATCACCAGGAGACCCTCGTCTCTTCTAACACAGACCCCCTCCACCCCAGCGCCCAAGCTTCCAGAACTAGGTTCTGATTTCCAGCATCCTTTTCCTTCCAGAGGAGGCAAATGAGAAAGAAGTCTACAGGATCCTAACCACTGAGGTCCAGGCCCCTGAACCAGACCCCAGTGCGGATCTGGATGCCTTCCGCCTAGCATGTCTTGAAGTCCAAGCCCTTCCCCACTTCCCTCTCACCTCCATCAAGGCAAATGGTTGCCAGAGCTCAAGATGATATTAACTGGCAAGGTGGAGTACCTTGGGACTAGCTCTGATTTGAGTTCACTACGAAACCTTAAGGAAGTGATCAACTCTGAGAACCTCAGTTTCTCTGTTGGTATGGTGAGGGATAAGTGGATTTTGCTTGGTAGGCCTGTACAGGAGTTGAGAGGCTCTCTTCAGAGGTCAACTGACTCATGGTCCCTTTACAGATGGATAGGGTCAGAGCAGGTCAGGAAGGCCTGGGGCCCCATGAGGTATCACCCACGTGCCCAGATGGAGGAGGACAGGAGGAAGGCTGTGTTGGACAGGGTGGATAGCACCTCCCTGGGTGCTTCTAGAGCCTGTCTCACCCTGATCCACCCATGCCTCCAGAAGCCCAGGAGAAAGAGTCACCCTGATCCTGCCAGAGGGTGAGCCTCATGTCCAGCTGGGCTCTCATTCTTCCCAGGAATCTAGGAACATCCAAGTCCAGACACCATGGAACTTCATAGCTGGACAGGACTGGTGGCCAAGGACCTCCAAAACATCTCCAGAAGCTTGCTCTTAGGGACTCCTGTCCCTTCCTGCCTCTTTCCCCTTCTTTCCCACAGCCTGGCTAATTCCTATCAGTCCTCTACCCTAGCTCAAGGCCGCCACCTCCAGGAAGCCTCTCTTGATCCTCACCCTGAGTTGGGTGCTCTCCTCTATGATCCCACAGATCCTTGTTCTTTCCCTCGGTGTGGACTGAGCCAGGCTGTGCCATGGGGGTATCATGACCAGCAGGAACTAGCTCCTCATCCATGGTTCATCTCTCCCCTCCCATCATTCTGAGTGATCTTTGTTAGTCCTCCGGCCTGGCAGGTGGGGGCTGTGAACCCAGGTCTGCCTGTCTCTCCCTGGCATGGACACCCAGATGGGGCCAGGCATGGAGGAGGGTCAGTCTAGTGTGTGCATGCATGAATGAAGGGCCTCACCTGCCTCTGAGCCTTGCTCTCAGGAGCCTTTCTGCTCCTTGGTACCACTTGCTACCTGGCATTCTTTGCTTATTATGTAAGACATTTTTTGGGGGAAAGACAAGAATAGCAAGGGAGGGGGTGCTCACCTGATCCTGGTATCCTTTAGGACAAGAACAAGTGAGGATCGGGAACCATTCATTACCCCCTTTAAGTCAGCATCTGAAAATCCCATTTCAGGAGCCCTGGTCACATCAGATACTCCTTGAAGGTGAGGCCTCCACTCTCCCATGAATCTCCTCCAGTAGACCAACAGTGCTTTTTCCCTCCCTGAACAATTTCCTTCTCTGCCCTCCAGAACCACCCAGGAATGAGGGATGCTCTGGTTGGTGACCTCCCCAGGACCTACCTCTGGGGCCAACATGGGGGCGGAAAGGAGAGGATGAACAGGCAGTCTTTCTCCTGTCAAAAGCTCAGGATGGAGCCCCACTGAGGCCTCCCAAGAGCTGTGATATCAAACTTCTGCAGCAGCTCCCCGGTGGGACAGGAAACAGTGTCAAGGGCAGGTATGGGGAGGTGAGGTCCCTGAGGACCGACTCCTGATGTATATCCTCCGTGTGCCTGGATGAGCACTGAGCTGGGAGTCTCAGGTCCCAGGATCGAGGCGTAGTTCTGCCTCAGCATCTTGGGGGGACCCTGGCCCCTGCTGACTGTCCCTTCTGGATCATTTGCACTCGGGCACCACGTTTAGCTCAAATTTGGAAGAATGGAAGGATGCTGGGGGATTGAGGGAGCCCCAGTCTGGCTGGGTTATGGTCCAGGCAGCGGGCAGGTGAGCTGAGCGGTCATTCCCTCCATCTCTCAGTTTGCCCCACAGAGACTCTGCTGAGCAGGCCACCCTCCTGAGTACTTCTGGTACCTGTTTCTGGCCAGCTCGTGTTGCCCCTGCAGTTCAACTACCATTTCACACCCGAAAGATATAGCAGTGAGGCAGTTCAGCCTTGATGCCAGCTGCCACCGCAGAGTCTGTGGCTCCCTACTAAAGCTCCACCTGCCGCCAGGGCAGGACCCAGGGAGTCCAGCAGGCCCTGGAGGGCGGGACAGAGCTGTTTGCTCAGACCTGCCCTCAGCCAAAACTTCTTCCAGGACCTGGAGGCCGACCCCCTCCACCATTGCTTATTGCTCAGGGTGGCTCCGGGGATGGGCCAGGGTGAGGGGTCAGGGGCTTAACAGCTATTCCAGACAACAGAAATCAAACTGGCTCAACCGCAGCATACAATTCAGGAAGGGAACACAAACTCGGAATGCTAAACCACACAGAAATGCATTTGGACAACAAAATGAGAAAGAGAGAGGGCCGTGAGGGAGGGGCTGGGGGCGGGCTGGAGAGGAAGAAGAAGGGGAAGGTGGGAAAGGAGGGTAGAATGAACCAGAAAAGCTGTCAGGGGTTGGGGGGTGGGAGGGTGGAAAGTCAAGAAAACTAAACGACAAACCAGGAAACACAGCTTTGCAGCTCATTTGGAGAAAATGCAAGTTACAAATGAGTAGTCACTAAAAGAAAGAAAGAAAGAAAATGGGAGGGGGGAGAAAAACCAACCAGAGCGAGATTGAGAGATTGAGAGAGAAAGAAAACCACATTCAAACCAAGCAGAGTGGCGGGGCTTATCTGGAGATGGGAGCGGCGCACAGCGGAGCCGGAATACCTACCTTCTCAGTGGTCAGGGACGGGAATGCAATAATAAAAGAGAAAAGAAGGTCTCCGCATTGGGAATGCAGAATCGGGGAAGACAGTGACGCTAAGCTGTGCTCCCCCTCTGAATCGGCACGGGGCAGCCTTGCGGGCTTTCGGTCTAGTCCCAGGGATGGGAGTGAGATCCTGCCCAGCCATTTCTGTTTGTTTTTTTTTTTAAACCCACACGCTCCAAGAGTCAACCTTTCCTTAACTCTTTAAATAACAGAAAACCTCCAGAGGGCATGCAGGAAGCAGCTGATGGGAACAGAACCACAGCACGGGTGAAGGAGGGGCTGGCAGCGTATGGGGAGAGAGGCCCAAGTCAGGGGGGAGAGGTGGTGAGGAAGAGACAGGGAGACACGCACATAGAGACAGACAGACCGAGAGACAGACAGACAGACATAGAGAGACAGAGAGAAACAAAAGCAACACAGACAGAAAGGGGAAGACAGAGGGGAAGGTGGACCCAGACGGAAGAGAAAAGCTGTTTAAACAAGGCCAATCAGAGTGGACTGATGGGGTGAAAGGGATCATGCATTTAAAAGGGAAGGCAACCACCGACTCAATTTGGAGGACTGGCTCAGCCTCAACTCCACTTTACCGCTGGCTTCAGTATCATTTTAGCAAAATTCATCCCTCCTGTCTTCTGGTTTCATCCTGGAAGAAATGCCAAGATGTCCCTTCCTAGCCTGACTGTCCCCCTCCAGTTGTGGTCACTGCTCTTTCCTGGGGGGCGGGGGTAGGGTGGGAGGGGGAGCTGAGATGAGGCAGATTGGGGAGATCCATGGGCACCTTTTCTTGGGGTCACTCTAGGCCACCCATTAGATGATGATACTTGAGCCCGAGGCAGAGGCCAGAGAGAGCCTGGGGGCCTTGCTCCTGATGTCCTCTGCCATCCTCACCAAACAGCGAGGCTTCCTTCAACACTTCGGATGCTAGGGGCAGGTGCTGCCAAGGCAGGTGGCCCTACTGCCTAAGGCTGCAAAGCCTGCAGCCTGTGTGTTGGGAGGGCAGAGCTAGCAGTTATGTTCTTGGGGGTGGAGGGAGGCGGGTGAGATGAGATGGAAGGACTTGTCCCATGAAGTCATCTTACTCGTCTGTCCCACGTAGCGTGCTTTGAGTCCCTCCCTTCCCTTTCTGAGCCTCACTGTTTATTTCCCCACATCTATGGGAACTGTGGGGGCGTGGGGCTCTGTGGGTCTCTGAGGCAGCAATTGTGTAGAACTGGGCCATGTAGTGTTGGGCCCACCCATAGCCTGGTCTTGGTGCGGGCAGGCTCCCGTGCTGGGGAGCTGAGAGAGCTGGGAGCTGGCCTTGACGCCTGGTGGGATCCCCAGGGAGAGAAGCAGGAGCTGAGACACCCAGCAGCCACCTCCCACATCCTCCTCCTCTTGCTCAGGGCTCCTGGAGTGGGTTTTCTATTGACAACCCTCCCACATCTTGGCTGTGCCTGGGCGTCTTGAGGTTAGAAGGCTGCGGCCTCCTCTTGGATGAACCTCTAAAAAGCGGTGTGACCTTGAGTTGGTCACTTGACCTCTCTGAGTTGCAGAGAACAATAAACAGCAGAGCCCAGAAATCCCTCTGGGGCTCAGCTCTGCCCTGGAATGGGACAACTAAGATGTGTCGGGAGCTAGCACTCAGTCTAGCCCAGGATGGACTTTTTTTTTGCCTGAGAGTATCTGACTTTGCAACCCTCACCTGAATTAAACTCTATCATGTGTCTTCAGCTCCCTGCTCCAGGGCCTCCTAAGGATCTGAGACCTGGAAGGAAGTTCCCTCTTATCCAAGATGGAACTGAGAAAGTTCAGGGCCCTGGGAAGCAATGGATAACCTCTTGCCTTCCCTGTGTCTCTCAGCTTCTCTCCAAGGTTCCTCATAGACTGAGATATGGACACACCATCTTTTGTTAATTTAAAAACTGAAGCAGTCCCAGCTTATGCCCTGAGGTGGAGGGGAGGGCTGGCTGGTGCCCAAGATTTGGCAGGAGTTGTTGGTACAGGAGTCTTTTTTTTTAAAGAGTTATCTTCCCTTTTAAATCCTGATTACAAAGGAAAAAAATATAGATATGTATATGACTAATGTTCACTTGAGATTCAAAAACCATCTCTGCTTTAGAAGGAGCAATCCCCACAGTAACACACACAAAAGCAAAATTCTAGAACAACATAGAAGATAGAGGAAAAAAAAACCCCGAGAGATGTTTTGCATTTCTGTACGTTACAAAACGAAAAAAAGAAGGGAAATACAAAGAAAAACAAAATAACAGGAAAAATTACATAAACTTCCCCACCCTCTTCCCTTGCCAGCTAAACAAGAAATGGAATCACAGTATTACCACGTTTCAAATGGGAGGCTAAAAAAAAAAACAAAAAAAAACATAGACGGGGTTAAAAAACGGTGAGCTTTTTCTTTTCCCATTTGTTTCTCTCTCTTTCTTTTTTCTTCTTTAAAGGTAGCATCCAAGAATACCACCCCACCCTCTGGTAATTTTTCCCAAAGACATTTTTGGTTACTGGCCAAAGTCTGTGATCCCAGAGCCCACCTCACCTCCCTGGAATGAGAACTCATGTCATTTCACTCCTCCGAAAGGATGTGCAGGCAAGAGGGGATGAGGTTCGGGTGAGAGACCTGGGATGTTCCGAAGTCCCAGACCTCCTAGGGCGCAAGGGGTAGAGAGGATCTGGGGGCATGCTTGGCGGGAAGAGTAACAAAGTGCTGTCATCTAGAAAACTCCCAGGGCAGTGCCAACTCCCATGTTTGGTAGGGAGACAGGACTGGGGTGCTGCAGAGGCTTCCTCCCTGCGAGGCGGCCTTCCCTGATTGCCCTCTCCCAGGGTTTTACCTAGTTAGCCATTTTGTCTGCACAGGCCCTGGGCCCTTGCAGTGTGTTGTTCCGGCCTCCAGGGCAGGGGGCAGGGGTAGGGGGGTGGGGGAGGCGGAAGGCCCTGATGGAGAGAACCTGCACTTCTGTGCCTGTCAGAAGATACGAAGTTTCCAGGAGAAGGTGTCTGGGGCGCTGTGCTATTCCAGCTCTGTGCCCATGGGGTCGGGGATGGGGAGACGCTATGGGTTTTGCCCAAGTTGGACGTCTCCTCTGTGGCCTGCAGCACCAGTCCCTGTCCTGGCCGCCCTCAGCTACCTCTGTGAGCTCTCTCCCACCCCCAGACAGACCCAGGGACGCGGGAGTGATCCTCCCCACGTAGCCCAACGAGGCCCCTCGGAGCCCAGGAGCCTGGCACCCTGTCCAGGTGGGGCGGTTTCAAGACAGGGGATGTCCTTAAATAAAAATGATCTTGAGACTCAGAGCCTTTTGTCAGCTGCCCTTGGCTTTCTTCGCTGAGGCCATAGGAGTAAGGGTGTTTGAGAAAAGAAAAGGAGTGAAAGGAAACAGCCAAAAATCAAAATGAAACTGACCAACACGTACATGTTTGCTGCTGAGACCTGAGGTCTGGGGAGGGACAGCACCCCCCTCCCCTACTTCCCTACTGAGGCTCCTAGGGGTAGCCTGCAGGTCTGGGAGGGGGAACCTGCCGGCCTGCCCACCCCAAGCCCCCTGTGCCCATCCAGGGCCCCTGCCAGCACTGCGGTCCCCCTCTCCCTGTGGGGGGCTCCACCCCGGACTCTAAGATGGACACACAAAACGGGATGTGACCTGGGAGAGCCTCCCGCCCTGGCCCAGCCCATCCTCCCAGGAAAGGCTCCCTCATCAGTCACCAGACCACCCGTGGCCCTCCTAGAAGTTGGGTGGGGACAGCACCTCTGCGGGGAGGTGCCTTAGGAAGGATGGGCCAAGGGAAGTGAAGCCGCAGGTTTGAGACCCCTGTCTAAGCAATGCCCCCGAAAGGACAGGTTTTCCCTGGAGCAGGGACTGCAGAAATGCAAGGGGACAGACGGGGAAGGGATCTGAGAGAGGCAGAGGGGCTGTGAGGGGGCTGAGGAAGGACGGGCTCTCCAGAGGGGTTAAGGACTCGGTGGGAGAGAAAGGCTCCGGGCGCCAGTGACGCCCGACGGGGCGGTCCTGACTCTTGAACCTCGTTCCCAACTGCGAGCCCTCCCACAGTCCACGCCCCCTCCCACCCCGTACGTCTGCGGGAAGCGGCCGAAGGCCTGGGTTCCTTCTCAGCTCTTTACCCAACTGGCTGATGCCCCGGGGGCCACCCTGCTCTGGCCCTCAGTGTGCCGAGGTCAGGGGTGCAGACCCCCCTCACCCCGACACTAAGGCCAGCTGGGCGAAACCACCCGGCCCTCCTGGCCGCTCCGGTGCGGGGCAGGGCCCCGGGGAGGGGGGAGCGGCCGGCCCCCTCGCACTCACTGGCCCCTACCCCGCGGCGACCCGGCGCGACCCCGCTCCGCCCCCGACCCCGCTCGGCGCGGGAACCCTCCGCAAAGCCAAGCGTACGTACATCGAGCGGGCTCTGCGCTGAGCCCGGGCGGCCCCCGTGCGCTCCGCTCCGCTGCCTGCTGCCACCGTTCTGCTGGGGCGACCCCCATCCGCTGCCGCCGGATGGGGACGGCGACCGGCTCCCGCTGGACCGCTGGCTACCCGTCTTCCGCCCGTCGTCTCGGTGCTTGGGGCTTAGCCTGCATAGGGGGAGCCAGCGTGGGATGTCGGGCCTGCAAGCTCCCGCCCCTCCCTCCTTCCTCCCCAACCCCTTCCCAAGCGCCCTCCCATCGCCAGGAAACCCTTCCTGGGAGACAGCAAGTTCCCAGCCCCCCATTGCCTTGGTCCCCAATCACAGTCGGGGGCGCCTTTGGGCAAGGGCAGCACCACGGTCCCAGGTGGCGCTGGGGGTAAAGAACCCGCCCGAAGGTGCGGGTTCGATCCCTGGGTGGGGAAGATCCCCTGGAGGAGGCCATGGCAACCCACTCCAGTCTCCTTGCCTGGAGAATCCCATGGATAGAGAAGCCAGCCTGGCGGGGCTATAGTCCATGCAGTCACAAAGAGCGGGGGACACGACCGAAGCGACCTAGCAGGCGCCCAGCACAGCCGTCCTAGTAAATTTCTACCCACTGATGCTGTTCCTGTCTGGCCATCAGCGCCACTACCCGGCCTTGGGGACTGCAGGTGCCCTCCCAGAAAGGGAGCTCAGCCACCCCTGAGAGCCCCCCGGTCACCCCCGAGAGCCCCCCGGTAGCCTGGCACCTACCTGCTGGGTGATCTGGAATTACTGTAATGGGAGGACAGGGAGGGGCTGTGGGAGCTGCCGCTGCTGTGACGATGGGACCTGCGGCCTGGAGACTCTGCGTGCGGCCTGGGAGAGAAAACGACTGCCCTCACGTTCTGCCCCATCTCCCGGGATGATACCTGTGAAGGCCTGGTGGAAGCCTCCGCTTCCATCCCTGCCCCTGGCCATGTAGCCTCCCCCCTGCCCCCATACTCTTCCTCCCATAACCCCCACCCCCAGAATCTCCCTCTCCTCCCTTGGCCCCCATACCTCCCCCACATAGTCTCCTACAAAAATAACACAAGCCGTGCCCATCCTGGGTACAGAGCTAGTCCATGTGGGTCATTTGTCAGTATTAGGAAAAAGGCGTCCTTCTCTCTAGGCAATCCCAGCCTCCCAGGATCTCACTTGGCCCTCAGCTGGTGTTCTTATGACTGTGATGGAGGGGGGTGGGGAGCAGGGCAGGGGAGGGCACTCTTGGCTTCCTCTCTGGGTCTGAATTTTTCCATCTGGGCAGCAGGGACAAACATGAGCTATCGAAGACCAGGGGATTTTTGAAGGGGATGGGGGTGGGGTGGGCTGAGGGGCTGGAGAGTGGGAGAGGGTACTCACCTTTTCCTTTCTTTGTTCTTTTCTTTTCTTTTGCTCTTGGGGCTTCGAGATCTACAGAAAGCAGAGACTACCCTGACAGCACAGCCTGAGCCCCGAGCTGGCCTGGGGAGGGCGGGGCCTGGGAGCCCTGCAGCTGGGCTGTGTCCAGGTGTGGTCCTGAGGTGTGCTCCTCTCTTGGGCGGGTTTGGACCCGCCCACCCCACCCTATCCCACTGCTTTGGTCCCTGCTACTCTGCCAGGCCTTCTTCCCTCCTCCTGTAAGTCCTGGCCTGGATCGCCTTGCATCTGGGCCCTACTTCTGTTCCCCCCAGGAGTGCCATAGGAGATGTGACCACGGCCCCAGAAGGAGGAGTAACCTGCACTTTGTTTCTGGCATTGGTCTTGGAAGAAGCCCCTCTGATGAGTCACCACAGTGGGGGTGGCCCCTCCACACCTCAGCTGTGTTCCCTGGGCCCCAGGTTCCCTCAGACGGGGCTCTCTAGGGCGGAGTCCAGACCTCCCGCCCCTTTGTCTTATGTGGTCCAAGCCTGGTGTTTAGGAAAGAAATGCTTTCCCCTGGGCTTCATGATCTTCCTGCTTTGGGGTTACTCTTCTGGATCCCTCCCATCCTATCCTGCTTTCTGAGGCGAGCCCCGCAGCCCAGCTCCTGTCTTTGACCGAGATGGACAGAAAAGCTCCTGGTCAGGCTTCTAAGGTCTCACCCCTGTGGGTCTCTCAGCCCCACCCTCCCTGATGCCACCAGACTCCTGCTCAATCCCTCTAGTCCTGAACAGATGCCTCCTTCTGACCAGAAACAAGGTGATGCTAAGAAATGCCAGAATGTGTTTCACCTGAGAGCAGAGTGGGTCAGGGCAGGCCCAGGAGTCCAGAGGTTTGGCTTCTAGAACCCATGCTGCCTGCTTTGGGCCTCAGGCTCCCCATGGGGAGTGGGTCTGGCCCCAGCTCACCTCTCGGTCCTCCCTGGGACTGACGGGAATGGGACAGAGATAAGGCAGGAGGGGCCCCCACTGGCCCAGAAGGACTGGAGGGGGTGGCAGGGGAGGGGGCAGATGGGAAACTGGGGGATTGGGAGGGCCAGGACTAGGTGGTGGTGGTGTTTAGTCGCTCAGTCATGTCCTACTATTTTGTGACCCCATGGACTGTAGCCCGTCAGCTCCTCTGTCCATGGGATGTTCTGGGCAGGAAGACTGGAGAGGGTTGCCATTTCCTCCTCCAGGGGATCTTCTAAACCCAGGGATCAAACCCACAACTCGGCATCTCCTGGAGTGCAGGCAGATTCCTTTACCGCTGAGCCACCAGGGGAGCTCTGGGATTAAGGTGTGGCCGTGGGCAAATGCTCCCTGCTGGCAGTGGAACTGAGAACTCTGCCCCTCTTCAGGGGTGCTGGGGGGGCGGTGTCTGGCTCCAGTGCCAACAGTGGGGATGTGATTGCCCCACAGCTTCCTGTCCTCCATGCTGAGTTTTCTTCCACTTTCCACCCGCCTGCCTCAACCTGGGTTCTGGCCTTACACCTCCTTCTTTACAGTCTATCCTGAAAAAGTCACGGTCCTGCTGTCCTGCTCAGAGCTCCTTGCTGGCTTCCAGCCCCACAGAGTGGAGGTTTCATAGTCTGGCAGTTAGGCCTCTTGGGGGGCTGGCACCGGCCTCGCAGAAACTCCACATGTAGGCACAGCCCGCTTGCCCTGTCTCCTACTCACTGAGCCTTTCTACCTCAGGGAGGTCCTTTTGCCTGCAGGCCCTTTCTCTGCGAATTTGGGGTCCTGATGTTTCTGCTTTCCCAACTGGCACCTCCACAGATATATCCCTTGGACACTGGACCACTGTGTTGTCTGGACATCCTTGGGGCTCCCAAGGCAAGGCTGACTCTGGGGCAAACAAGCGTTGCAAATGGCCTTCCTCCTCCCCCACCCTCCAGCGCTCTGTCTGGCTCTCGGGAAGAGTCCCTGGTGTGGGAAGAGGGAGCCGGACAGGACCCTGGCAGCTCTCCTCCCATCGTGGCTTCCTCGGGCCCTGCAGGGGGGCCACTGGCCTCTGTCCACGTCCTCCTGTCCCGCCTCCACGGGGCGCCACTCACCTGTGCCGCCTCTTCCTCCGGGACCCAGATTCAGACCTGTAGGACCACAGAAAGGTCCTCTTGAGCCCATGCACAGCCTTGGTCATGGGGGAGGGGGTCCCACGGAAGTGAGCGGAGGCCCCCGGGGACAGAGGGTACCTGTCTCGGCGGTGTTTCTTCACACTCTTCTTCTTCTTGCGAAGGGGTGAGGAGCTCCCACAGCTGTGGACACAGTGCCGGGGGTGGAGGGGGGAGGTCTAGTGAACTGGGGCCCCAGGATGGGTGGGGGTGGCATGGTGATGGAGATGGCTGGGGAAGCCTAGGCGCCTGTGGCCTTGAAGTTGGAAAGGGGACTCCAGGGCTTCAGGCCAGCTGTCATCCTACAGCGAATCAAGGCCCCGAGGGTCCACTCGGTTCCTGAGAGAAGCTGGTGGAGCAGCCTGTGCTGTCCCCTCATCACCTTTCCAGCCCCCCTGGGCACTGTGAGCCAGGACTGTTTCAAAATCAAAGGTTAGAGGTGCCAGTGATGGGATTTCTGGCCTCCACGGAGAAGCGCCGGCATGTTGGCTGGTGCCCAGGCCCTGAGGTGCAGGCCTCCAGCCTCCGGGGGGTGGCCTTGGACCCTCTTCCACCCACAGACATCCTCTCCGGGCCCAGCCGGTCCCTCCCTGCCCCACCCTCATCACTGACCTGCACTCAGAGTCTAGTCTCCTTTTTTTGCTGAGGGCGGGGCAGAAAGAAGGGGAGACAGACAATTGGATGGGATTAGTGGGGGTCCCAGACATTTGCCGGGGGCCTCACTTAGGACAGGGGAGAAGGGGCGTGTAGAGATGGGGAGCCATAGGTGACCCTAGCCAAGCCTCTCTTCCCTGGCCCCTGGGGTGCAGGACCCCTGGGGGAGGGTGCTGGGGACCAAGAGCAGGTGGTCAGAGGTGAGAGGCTGGGTCATGGGCGTGTGCAATTGGCGGGGGGGGGGGGGGGGGGTGGCCGGACGTTGGGGTGGGGTGGGGAGGGGGTACTCAGTGGGGGAAAGGGCCTGGAGAAGGGGAGGGGCTCAGTGAGGGAGGCCCAGGGTGCGGGGTGTCAGAGCCCTGCCCGCCCAGGGATGGGCAGCTGGGGGCCCCACCGCACCCCTCCCGCCCCCTCCAGCCCGGGGGCGGCTCTCACCGGCTTCTCCGGTGGCCGCCTTTCTTTTTCTTCTTCTTCTTGGGAGGGGGCGACGCAGAGCTGCTAGACCAGTGCTTGGTCCTGGGTGAGAAGGGGGCGGGGTGGGCGGGGGGAGGGGAGGGCAGAGGTGAGGGGGGAGGGGCGGCCTCCACCCCCACCCCCCATCCGCCGCCGCGGCAGGCGCTGACCTGTCCCCCCGGTGCCCGCGGTAGCAGGAGGCGGGGCAGTCGCAGTCCACCGGGCCGTCGTCCTCGTCGAAGGGAGCGTACTCCAGGCCCAGCTCGGCGCCCTCGATCAGCCGCGGGGTCTCCGCCACGCTGCCGGCAACAGGGACGCTCAGCACCTGCCGCGGCGGCGGCGGCCGTGCCTTCCCGCTGACCCATTCCCGGCCGGGCGGCGAGGTGGGGATGGCCCCGAACCCTCGAAGGTCATCGGGGGTGGGGGGGGCGGATCTGGGGAACCACACCGGGAGCCTCCCTCACAGGGCGCCAGTCTCAGCGATGCTCTATTTTGTCCCCATCCTCAACCAACCAACCGTGCCCTATTTTGCAAAAAAAAAAAGAGGACCACGGAGCCCTCCCCCCTCACTTAGCCCCCGCTACTAGGTTCTCACCCTCCAGGCGCCCCCTCCTCCTCAGTGAGGCCCCTCCCCTCGCTGAGGCCCCTCCCGACACGGATTCTTTGCCCTTCGGTTCCCTTCATTGCACCTCAGTCCCCCTCATTGAGCCCCCCTGCACCCTTAACCCCAGAGGCCTCGTCCCAAGCCCCTTTCCCCTCCCCAGCCCCCCTTCTCCGTCGCCGAGCCCCGCTCTCTCACTGAGACCCTTCCCCTTCTCTGAGCTCCCCCGTCTCTGATATCTGTCCTTCCTTAATCCTGCCGTCCCCTCGCCCCCTCCCCGCCCCTCGCCTGGTCCTCCCTCCCGCCCCACTGCCTCTCTGAAATATTCATAGCCTCTCCTCCTCCTCTCGGCCGCCTCCGGAGGCCTGGCGGCTCTTCTCCGGCTGCCGGGCTGTCATCAATCACTGCCCAGTGGCAGCGGGCGCCGGCCTCGGCACCCTGCCCGCCTCCCGGGCTCCTCATCCATCTTGCCGCGTTCTCCCCTTCACTCCGCAGGGACCGCGGCATCTGGTCCCCGCTCCCGGGCTCAGGAGCCCCCAGCCATCTTCTGCCGCCGACGTCTGTTCCCGGAGGGCACTTGGAGGAGCGGCTGCTTTGTCCTTAAAGGCTGCTGGGCTTAAGGCAAGGCTGGGAGCTTTGAAGCTGCACATGTGCCCTAATTATGCGCTGTTCCTGAGTCGCTGTGGCCCTCTCTGAGCCTCTTTTTCCAACAGGGGAATGAATCCTAATTACCTTAAGGATAGTTACGACAATTCCCTGAAGTCCCGATGTTGTGCAAATTTGTTTTTTTACTGGACACGCCCAGAAGTGGACCCTCCAAAGGCCCAGGTCCAGGGTGATGGTCCCTCATCTTCCATTTTTCATTCCTGCTCCAGCTCAGATAGCACCCCTCCCAGATGGAGGCTCAGCCCTGGTTTTTCCAGGCTCATCCTTTTCCTGCCCAGAGCGAGGGAGGCCACAGCTGGGATGGCAGAGCATTAAAGAGGTGACATGAGCTTTGGATTCACACAGACAGGTCTGAATCCAGGCATGACCATGCTCACGGAGCCTCCGGGGCCTTATCTATACAACGGGGAAAAGAATAGCTCAGCTTTGAGAAGAGGATTAAGTACGAGTCTGGCTATGAAGCTCCTGACAGGAGGCCTGGCCTGCAACTATGGTCCTCCACACACGGTCACCATTGCTAGACAGAGGGACCTCGGTCGGACACTCACACACCAACACCTCCTCTTCCAGGGAGAAAAGTGGTTTTGACACATGAAAGAGACTGGGCAAGATCGCAGCTACAAGGTGAGATTTTCAGGCACAAACTCCAGCAGAGCACCCACTAAGCAGCTCTTTGAAGACTGATTTTTGTATTTAAAAAAAAAGAAAGAAAGAAGAATGTAACCCAAATTGGACAGGGTTAGCTAGCCTTGACGCTTGTGTCAAGAATGTCATTTGGTGGACTTCCCTGGTGGTCCAGTCTCCCCGCTCCCACTGCAGGGGGCATAGGTTTGATCCCAGGTCAGGGAACCAAGATCCCACATGCCTCACGGTGCACCCACATGCCTCACGGTGCAGCCAAAAAAAATGTCATTTGGATCCCAAACACCATCCTGGCCTTGGCAGCCTACAAGTCACACAGGTGTTATGAGAGGTTTTTCTGGGGGGATGGACAGTCATGTCATTGCTCTGCCCCCGCAGAGCCAAACACCCCCACATCCCTTCATTCAAACCTCTCCTCTCTTCCCCATGCTCTTCTTCCTGAAGCCAGGGGCCTCCTACTTCCTGTCCCTGAAATCTCCAACTCCACAGCCTGTCCCGGGGCCCATCACCCCCACACAGCTCTCAGCCACACAAATGCCTGACACATAAACCCTAGACTTTGGCAAAACTTAAGGGCACCACAAACATTGTGTGGGTGAGCTGGTGGGAGGAGGGAACTTTCCTTGATCCTGACAGAAGGCAGGGAATCCTTTCTTGCCTTCTGACATCGAGCTGGGTTAGCCACTGAGTCCAGGCCCTCCCTGGGCCCTCCTTATTGTGCTGGCTGCACACCTAGACACATCTTTCCTTTCTACCCTGTGCTGGGGACAGGGCTCCCCACCCCTTCCCCGCCCCATCCTCCCACCCTGGGACCTTATCGTTTGACCTCTTTTACTTTCCAGTCCTTTCTAGGGATCTTTTATCGCTGGAAGCATCATTGAAAGACAGGCATGGGGACTTCCCTGGTGGTCTGGTGGCTAAGACTCTGTGCTCCTAATGCAGGGGGCCCAGGTTCAATCCCTGGCCACAGAATTAGATCCCACATGCTACAGCTAAGAATTCGCATGCTGCAGCTAAAGAAAAAAAAAAGGTCCTGCATGCTGCAATGAAGATCCCATGCGCCGGAACTAAGACCTGATGTAGCCAAATAAATAAAGCAAAATTTAAAGAAGCAGACAGGCATAGAGGAGATGCATGTTTGAAGAGACATACAAGGTCTCAGAACCTTCTGGTAAGACTTGTCCTGGCAGTTCCAGGGATGTAAATAGACTTAGGCTGAGGCTTCTCTTGCTGGTTTTGTGCAGCTGGTACCACCACATTCACTTTGCAGGCCCTCTCAGGGCTAGAACACTGGGTTCTCCTGTTGTGACCTTCCTGGCTCACAATATAATATATATCACAAATAATACCACTCATGAGAATGTTCTCTAATGTTTGAATGGTTCTCCATGGTTCACATTCCACTCAAAACCAATTCCTGATTTAGAGAAATTGCATGCTCCCATTTCACAGATGAGAAAACTGAGGCCCAGAGAGGGAAAGAAATACCCATGGTTTGGGGACCTTTGATTAAGAATGCAAGTTCACCTAAGCAATTGACTTTGAGAATTCATGTGCACACAGGCCGACCCTGGACTCTACTGGCTGGGCTTCCTCACTGTGGACGTTAGCTCAGCCGTCCCCTCCCTGCTCTGCAGACACAGTTGTGAGTGTCTGCACTGAATTCTAGGTTTGTTTAGTGTTTTCTGCTCTTAAGTTCACATTTGTTGGCAAGTTTACTCCTCACCATGCCTGTGGAATAGGCAGGGGCGGTGTTCTTCCCTGGTGACGGAACACACTGAGCCCCACAGAGCTGACCAAAGCAGGTCCAGCCAGAGTCCACTGCAGAGGGACCGGGGTGAATCGGGGCTGAACCCAGCACCACCCAGGACACCTGTTGGACCGGCTGCCCCCGGGAAGGGCTCCGACCTGGGAAGAGATGCCTGTCACATGCTCTTCCTCCAGACAGCAGTTTCACTAATTAACTAGTTATGTTTCCCTTTTGCCAGGAGCCTAATGGCCAATTGACAAATGACTGAGTTCACACAGAAGAGAAGGAGGCTTCCAGGCAAAGGCGCTGCCCTTTCTGCTCACTTAGCCTGCGTGCCAGGCCTGCTGGGGCTGGGGGGAGGGGGCAAGGGTGGCAGGAACAGACATAAATCAGGCCTGGGGCCTCTCCTATAGCTCCTCATAGCAAATATATGAGACTCTTTGCACCGCCATGGACTATAGCCCACCAGGATCCTCTGTCCATGGGATTCTCCAGGCAAGAATACTGGAATGGGTTGCCATTCCCTTCTCCAGGGGATCTTACCGACCCAGGGATCAAACCCAGGTCTCATCCTTTGCAGGTGGATTCTTTATTGTCTGAGCCACCAACCAAACTGATAACAAACTTGTCTTCAATGTCTTTAACATTCTAGTAGGATCCCAGGACCCTGCGAACTCTATATTCTCCCCTGCTTCCAGAGCAGGAGTCCTCCTTGGAGGTTGTGTTTCCACCCAGAGAGCAGGGGGCATGTCTATTTCTTTTTCCCTCCCCCATCATAGCACCAGTACAGGGTTGGGTGTACAGTACAGACCCTCAAGGGCATTTCTTCTGATGATGGACATTGCGACCTTTCCGTGACATCCTTCCCAACATGTCCTGGTTCTTAAATGCATTGTTCATTCATTCAAGGAAAGAGAAGATCAGGACTCCTGGAAATGACTTGGAAGTCATCCACTAACAGGAGAGCGTTCCAGTTGGGGATGGATGGGATCCCCAGGAAGAAAAGAGAAGGCAGACCTGGGGAAGAGACCTGAGGACCTAGCAGATCCTTGTGAGGAGCCAAGACCTAAGAAGTGGGCAGGAGGAAGGGAGGAGCAGAAAGCCATCAGAGGGGCAGGAAGACAGTCACAAAGAGCTGACTCTTGGAAGCCAGGGAGAGGGAAAGCAGGTTTCCAGAGGGGAAATGGAGTGGTGGCACGTGCCAGGAGAGGCCAGGCCTGCAGAGGTGCCTGGGCCAGGCCAAGCAAGACTCAGTCCGCTGCAGCAGGTCATGGGAGTCATGGGGGCAGAAGCCAGGTCTCTGGCTTAAGGAAGTGGAGACAATGTGTACCACACGCTCTATAGAAATCTGATGCAGAAAAGGGAGAAACGTGTGGGCTGGTAGCTGGAAGAGAAAGCAGGGCTGGGGAAGGACCGGAAGCCAAATAAGAGGAAGGAGCCCAGGGGAGGGGAGAGCGGCAGGTGTGGGCTGGAGGGGCGGTTATCGCTGGAAGGGCCCTGAGAAGGTGGCAAAGGCAGGCTCTGGAAGAGGCCTCCTCCCCTCACACTGGATGGAAGGGGAGAGGGTGGCTGCTTTTCCAGAGGAGCCCTGGGGGCATTTGAGGGGGCACGGGTCAGACAGGAAGAACCTGATGGTTTTGGAGGTAGTATGGGCAGCAGCAGAAAGATCTGGCTGTCTGGATGTTTGAGAAGGGAAGGGAGGAAGGAGCTCACCCTGGTCTAGGGGCGGGGATGAATCTGCGGGGTGTTACTGTGGCAGCCACTACCGAGGGGGTGCTGTGGGCTCTGGGAGGCTGGGGAGAAGAAGGTAGTAGTGGTGTGACCTCTTCCCACCCCGAGGGTAGGAGAGAGGAGGCCAGCTGAGCCTGGCTCCCCTAGATCACCCACAAACCCCCCACAAGCCTGACTCTGGTTTTTGTTTTTTTCCCCCCTTTTTGGCCATGCCACGTGGAATCTTAGATCTTAGTTCCCTGACCAGGGATTGAACCCGTGCCCCCTGCAGCAGATGCGTGGAGTCCTAACCACTGGACCATCAGGGAAAATCACCATCACTGACTCTGCTTTGGGCTCTTGCTCAAGCCAGAGAAGTGAGGTTAAGTGGGGTTAGGAGGGGAACCCCCCCCACCTGAAATAGTCTACAATTTCTATAGACTGGGCTTCCCTGTCTTTGAGATCCATCTGCTCCTGCAATGCTGTTTGCCCTCAAGACAACAGCAAGGAAAAGCATTCAGAAGGCGCTGCTGCTGTTTTACTTTCCTGCCAACAAAGGTGCCCAGGGACTTAGGGCCTCAGCAAGATGCCCACCCTGCCGTCATGTCTGGAAACTTGCAGGGACAGGCCGGCCCCACTCTCCTACAGCAGCTGCTCCACTTTATATGGTTTCGAGTGGGTGATGGTTCTCCGAGACAAAGTCTGCCTCCCCATAACCTCCTTGTCTTATCTGAAGCCCACAGCACCCGGTGCCCCTCCTCTCCTGTGACACCTGCAGAGATGTCACCGTACAGAGCCCGTGCTCTCTTTACCGGGTGGGCCTTTGACCAAGCCAGCGATGGCTTTTGGCGCACTGGTTGTGTTTACTCTGGAGGCCACTATCTAGGTGATAATAGTTGGGGCGGGGGGACTAGTCTATCAGCCAATGACAACACTGAGGAAAGAACACTTCTCCGTCTCCTGGTCTGCAGCCCAAGATTCCTGGAGATGAGATGTGGGCTCTTTCTCCCACCACTGGGCCAGAGATAGAACCCAGGGCGGCAGGGAGAGGACTTCAGTGATGCCCAGGTAGGTGCCCAGCGACTCTTGCCTAGTGCCCTGGGTCAGGCCAGAGCTTCCGGTGGACAAGACCCACGCCCTCTCCTCCTCCTCTTCTTTCTTCCCACCTCCAGCCCCGACCACCTGAGTGAGCCCTGGGAAAGGCTGCCCAGGGCTGGCCTGAGGCTGCACCCTTCCCCTGTCCTGGGCCTCCCCACCCTGGCAGCACTCACATGTGGCCCCCAGGCCGGTCCTCCCTGGTGAGCATTCCCTCCTTCTCCATCAGCATCTGCCGGAAAGTCCTGACCTTCTGCCGGGTCTCCTCCTCTGAGTACCTGTGGGGCATAGGGAAGGTGAGAGCTGCAGTCTGGGCTCTGGTTTCCTCCTCACCTGCCCCCCCCCCCCCAGCCCTCAGTCACGTGGGCACTCTCCAGCTTGATATGACCTGTCCAAGGTCACACCACCAACAAGGTTCTCAGTGCTGGGGAAGCTCAAAGCCAACCAGATCAGTCAACCAACCAACTAAACCAACAACCAGGCAAACCAACACATAAACTAAAGTGAGTGTTCCCAGAGGTGAGGAGACCTCCCGGGGAGACCCGGCTCTTCCTCCTGGCCCTGTCCCACCCTGGGACAGGCCTCCCTTCCACATCCAGGCTGCAGTCCCTCTCCGGAGACATTTTAGGGGAGAAGGGAGACCCCTGACCTCGACACATATGTGGCCTTTTCTGCTTTCCTCACCATAGCCTGGGGAAGTCCTCAGCGCATCCCCGCCTCTACAAGGTCAAGGCTGCCAAATGGCCAGTCCAGGGCCCCAGGGGTAGATCCACGGCTTCCCAGCTTGGGATGGGGGTGGGGGTGGAGGTAGTCTGGGCCTTGGATGGAGGCTCCTGACTTCTCTCCTCTGCTCTCCCTCCCTCCCTGAGCCCAGTCTCAGGCTGGGGACCAAAGCCCAGAATTATCTACTCCTCATCTTTGTTCCTGCATCCTGGGGTCGCTGTCACCTCTCTCACACCACCAATGTGACAGCTGTCCAGGCCTCCCAGCCCATGTCCATGCTGACCCCTGGGGCATCTGTGCTCACCCAGCCCCTGGCCCTCTGCCCAGCACACACCAGCTGTCCAGTGGCTGTTGCTAACTGAGTCCTGTCTCCTAAGCTCCCACCCTCTCCTCCTCCTGGTCTGCCCTGGACAGAAAGCATGGTGGCCAAATAGGAACTGGAGTCCCACCTTCTCTATCATGTGACCATGAGCTGTCTGTGCACACAGCAAGCCCAACTCACCCCCCACCCCACCCTATCCATGAAAATGGTGCATCCTTCCCTGTCAGGGACCCCATCTCTTTTCTCCCTTCTTCCCTCCTCTCCTTCAACAAGCATTTGGGATTGACTCAGTCTTTTTGGAGAGCAATTTGGCAATTCTTTTCAAAAACCTTAAAAAAAAAAAAGGAATACAACTTTTGATTCATAAATTAACTTCCAGGTTTACTCTGTGGAAATAACCATGGCTGAACACAAAGATGTGACTCATGGGAAGTTTATAGCAGGACGAATCCTCCTGCCTCCCCAACCAGGTTAGGTGCTAGCATTTGTGTTTCCATAGCAACCTCAGCCTCCTGGTTCCTCCTGGAGGGTTGGTTTCTGTCTTCATCTGTTGACTTTTCTGCACCCCACACTGGCCTGGGAATTCCCTGAGGACAGGGACACTGTCTGTCTGAATTGACCTTGTGTCCCCAGCATCTGGCACCTTGCCTGCCACATGGGGCCTCCAAAAATGCTTTTGAACTCTGGCGCGACAGTTATTGAATCTCATTGCTCCCACTTTCTAGATCTGTGACCTTGGACAAGTCCACATACTTCTGTTAGTCTGAGTCTGTACATCTGTACAACGGGATAGTAACCTGCCTTTCAAGATTGTTGTAGGATTAAGGGAGATGACACATAAAAGCACTTTGCACAGTGCCTGGCACACAGTAGGTGCTCAAGAAATGGTGGTGATTGAGGATTATTTGTCCCAGAGCAATGGGGACAGAGGGTCTAATTGTCCCAGGCTTTGTGCCTTTTTCTACCCTAGATTCCTCCCAGGTCAGCATGGTACTGGGTCAGGAATCACCTGATCTTCTCCCCTCTGCTCTCCCAGGAGGCAAAGGCTGAGATGGAGAAGGAGGCTGGTTCCCAAACCTTCCATGCCCTGTGGATGCAGCAGCACCTGCCAATTCAAGGCCATGCAGGAGGCCCGGCTGGCTAACAGTTAAGGGCTCAGATGGGGAAGAGGGTAGGCCGGATGCTTGTCTCAGTGCCCCAGCCTCCTGGCTCAGCTGCTTCCCCAGCCAGTCTGGCTCCCTCGCTGCCACTTCCACAATTTGGGAAAATGCATCAAATTCATTTCTGCTCTGGGGACTTCTTGGGTTGTCCTCTGGGACTGGGGTGGGGTGAGGGGACAATACATTTTAAAAGAGGTCCCCAGAGTGGAAAATGTCTCCTTCTGCCTGCCTTTGCCCAGATCCAGCATTTCCTAGAAAATCACTTCCTTGGTCACTGAGTTGATCTTCACTGTGGCTCTGGGGGGGTGGGGGGTAGTGGCCCATTTTACAGATGAAGAAATAGAGCAGCGAGAGGGGAGGGCTCAAAGCTCCAAGCCCAGCTCAGTGGTCCTCATGGGAAGGGACATGGTGGGTAGTATGTGGGAAGCGGGATGTTTGGGGCCAGGACTGGAACATCACCTCACAGAGGCTGGGGGCTTTGTCCCTGCCTCCACAGTGATTGTAGGCTGCCCCTAGAGACTGCCCAGGAAGATGGCTCCAAAGGCAGCATCCATCACCAGTGAATTAGCCACCATCCATCAGTATTAAGAAAGGGATTGCTTTTTAATGGGGCCAAAGAATGTGTGTTTCCGTGACTAGCAGGAATATTTGTCAGATGCCTGCGAATCTAGTAAATAAATGCAAATGTACCAGTGTTTCTAGAAATGGATATTAATGAGTGGATTTTTAGCAGAGCAAAGGTCCCTAGTGTTTGTGGAGCACTTTCTGGGGACTGGAGTGGGGTGCGGGAGCCCTGTACTTGCCTTAATCCACAGGCCCCTCAGAACAACCCCCTACTTAACAGGCCAGTAGCTATGGCTTGCCCAAGGTCACGGACCAGAGCTAGAAGCCCCGATTCTTGGGTTCCAGAGTGGCTGTGGCGTCTACCAAAGGGGCAGCCGCTAAGAGATGGCAGAGGGACAGGGTTGATAACCAGAGGGCTAGCTTTATGGGAGACTTGGCTTCTCTGGTGGCTCAGAGGTTAAAGCCTCCTCCTGGAATGCAGGAGACCCAGGCTCGATCCCTGAGTTGGGCAGATCCCCTGGAGAAGGAAATGGCAACCCACTCCAGTACTTTTGCCTGGAGAATCCCATGGAGGGAGGAGCCGCAAAGAGTCGGACACGACTGAGTCGTGGACCAGTCTAAGGTCCACCTGGAGTGAGGGCTTGGGTGGTGGAAGGGCCCCTGATGGAATATCTGGAGACGACCTGTTGAGTGCATCCCAGCGAGGAATGAGCCTTTGATGCCAGGGGGTTAGATACCAAAGACACGGTCAAGTGTCATCCCCCTTCACCTGAGGCTGCCTCCCTGGGATAATAAGCCTGCTAGGGCATGGGAAGACAGGGGACTTGTGGAAGGGGATGCCATGAGTGAGGGCCCTTAAGCGTTTCCTGAAAGTTTGGGGCGAGAGGGAGGGCTTTCCTAAGGGGAAAGTTCGGTGAAGAGGGTGGGGCTTAGCAAGGGGCAGGGCCCTATAAGGGGGAGGGGCGTGGCTTTGGAGTGGAAGAAGGCGGGGTTTGTGAGGGGAAGTGGGTAGGGCTCTGTGAGGGAGAAGGGGCGGGGCTTGTGTGGGGAAAGGGGTGTTTTCCTAGAACAAGCACGAAAGGCTGGCTCTCATCTCTTCCAGGCGTCCTGTTCCCTAGCAACGCCCACCCGCCCACACTCCCTCTACTCCCGGAGTCTCTCAATTCTGCAGGATCTGCAGGTTTAATTAAGGTCTGGGACTCTCTCTGCAGAAGGATACTCCACTCCCCACCCTAACCCCGGGGATCTCATTTCTTCGGTCACATCCACAGCTCATCAAGCCTGTTTTCATTACCAGCTGGAAGTCTCCTTTCTGTCTGTCTTCAACAGCCTTCTACCCATCCATTCCTCTCTGCAGGGATCCTCCCCACCCCCACCTGGTCTCCAGCTGGAGGTGAACACCAAATTCCTGCGCCCTTTTCTTACTAGCGGCCCTGCCCGGCAGCCTTAGCCCTGTCTTCCTAAGGGCCTGTGGTGTCAGTGGCCATCTCTGTCTAAGCCTCAGTGTCTTCTGGGCTCCACAGGGACGAGTGAGCCTTGTCTTGGCTGCCTCATGGGGATGAACAGACAAAGGTGTGGTTTGGAAGGACCGCTGTACACAGGCGGTCTGCTCCCATGTGGCCCCAGGCCCTAACGCCCTGGGCTTTTCTGAATTTTCAGCTCTCTGACAGCGCCAGCCTGTTGGGCAGGCCCTGCTCCTCACTTTGACTCCCTCAACAGCCAGCCCAGTAGTTTCAAACTGCTCAGGCAGATGCAGAAAGGAGCCTTGGAAACTCCAAGTTTCCTTGGAGCTGTAGAGATGGGAATGGCTCTGTTCTCCATTTTTTTTTTTTTTTTTTTTTGCCTCCAGTTCCACATATGATGGCTGTCCTTGTCTCCACTGGATTTTCAGGGGAGGTCCCTAAATCTTTATTGACTGATGCACAATCCCTCCTTCTCAGCCTGACAAACACCTATTCATCCTTCAAGATCCATTCAAATGTCTTCTCTCAGAATCTCCCCTCCGAGCTCCTGAGGCACTTGACCCTTTCCTGTCCTGCTGTCCTTTCTAGAATCCTGATTCTAACCTATTTTATGGTGGAGTTGGTGTTAACATGCCTGTTTCCCTTCTGAGATGGTTAAGGAATAGGGGTTGGGAGAGGGGTCTTTGAGGCAGTGACTCCAATTCAGCTCTGGGGACCAACGTTGCTCAGCACAGCCTCTGTCCCACTTGTGTGCCCCTGGTTCTGAACTAGACAGGGTGAAATCTAAGCTTCTGGGTGTGGCTGCTGGCTGGAATTCCCTTGCTGAAACCACAGGCAGCCCTCACACATAGTATGGGCCCGCTGTGCGTTCTTGCCTGGCTGCCACACCTGGCTGTAGACCAGGCTGCTAAACCACCCATTTTACAGACGGGAAAACTGAGGCCTTGAGTTGTCATTAACGTTTACATGCCCCTCTCCTACACCAGACTGGGTGTTTCCCGAAGGCATGGGCTGTGTCTCCTTGGCTGCTGTGACTCTAAGCCCATATGAGAGCTTGATGTAGAGCAGGAGTTCAAGACAGCTTATTGGTAAAGTAATACATGAATGAAAGTTCAACTGGGCCTGCAATAGTTCAGATTCTGACCTTTCAGGCTCCGGGATCCCAACGCTGGCCCCGCCCCGGCCCCGCCCTGAGTCCCTCCCGGCCCCGCCCCCTTCCCCCGCTCACCCTTGCTCCTCCATCATCTCCTGCAGTTCCATGCACTTGAGCTCCACGCGCCGCTTGCGCTCATGGTCCAGGATCTCGCGGTGCGCGCGCTTCACTAGGCCGGGCTCCGCGGCGCGCAGCTCCTCCTCTGCCCGCGGCCAGGCCCCCGACGAGGCGCCCGGCTGCGGGAAGCCGTTCGCCGCGTCGGGTGGGGACGGCACGCTGGCAGCCCCGTTGTTCACGGTGGAGGACATGGTGGCTGCCCCCGGAGCGGCTGGCCTCGGCCCTGCGGGACAGACACAGACACCCGGCGGGATGGTCACTTCTCGGCCACCTGCTAAGCTCCTCTTGGCGCGGGTTAATCCTGGAGATTTAAAGGCCCACTCATGGCTCTAATCCGCTTCCCCTCTGGCTGCAGAGCCGGGCCGCGGCAGGTTTGCACCTGTGGGTCACACCTCAGGGCATGAGGGGGCATCGGACACTGGCTGTCCCCATCGGTAAGGTGGGGTGGATTCAAGGCGGACTAGATGGCCTCTAAGGAGGCTTGTCGCCTTCAGGGGCCTAGTAACCATCCAGGACAAAGCTCTCTGCCGCCGTAGCAATGCCTGGTCCTGACTGCTGGCCCCTGCCTGCACACCTGCTGGCAGTTCCCCAGCTTTTATTCTTGTTTTTCCTTCAGGCTCAGTTTAATACCTGCTTCTTACTCCCCAGTACCCATTTTTCTGGCTCTGGCCCTTGGAATCACAGACCACACGTGCTCCCTGAACAGCCCTGCAGAGACCAGGCTCAGCTCCATTCCCACCACAGATGCAGTTTTCGGGTCCTACTTTGATCTGGCTAACTTTTCCAAAGTCAGCATTCCAGGTGGGGGCCTATCTGGGCTGAAGCCCACAGGACCGTCCCCTCCTTTGTTCTGGAAACATCGCTTGTGAGGATGTGACCAAAAGTGGCACTGACATTAACTTTCCAGGCAGCCACATCCTTTCGCCAGCTCAGGGTGGTTTGGGAGTCAGCATGGCTTGGAAGGTGAGAAGTGGTGGCTCCATGGTCCAAAGAAGAGCGTGCACCTGTATGCACCCTGCACATGCATGTATACACACACACAGAGACATACACACACAAGCACATACACACCAAGGACTTATCTTAACAGAGGGGAGGCACCTCCCGAGCTATTTCCATTTCCTTTCTCCAAGGCTCTGCTAGTTGCTAAGCAACAGGGAGGCCTCCTTCCCAGGGAGTGGGATGGGAGGGAGGGAAGGGGTGGAGGGAGGTGGGAAGAGAAGGAATCAGGCATGTCTGGACATCCCAGATGGGGCCTTCCTGCAATACACCCCCAACCCCCCACAACACATACTCTCCTCACTGGCCTCAAAGTGCAGAGCCATGGCGTCTGAAAGGCAGAGAAGAGAGAGGGACCAGGAGAGGAAAAAGCCTTGCAGGGGACAGTGACAGGAGGTGACAGTGGGAATGGGAACACAAGCTCCTTTCTTATGTTCATCTGCCCAAGTGTCCGGGTCTAGGCCCGGATTCTCCGTGCCTTGCTGTGTGACCCTGAGGATGCTCCTGCCCCTCTCTGAGCCTCTGTTCTCAACCTGTGCCTGGAAGCATCATCCAGATTCTTCAAGAAGTCTCTTCGGGCTTTACAGAACAAAGCTGTTTTTCTAAGCCTTGCCTGCTTCCTGCCTGTCCCTACCCCAGCCCTGCAACCCTAGCTCTACCATGCTTTCTCTGAGGGTAACCCACAAGTATCACCCACTCACCAAGCCCCACCCAGAGCTCTGCTTGTGTCATGCCCTGAGCCAGGGACATGCATGGAGCTTGGAGACCCCCATTCTCCTAGCCCACCACAGCTCACCAAGATCAAGTTTGGTCCCATATTCCATCTTGACATTGCTCACATTTACCCATCTCCTCCTCTCTCATTACTACTTCAGTTCAAGCCTCTGCCTCTGGTCCATTCTGGCATCAGCATCCTGTCTGCCCACCCCCCTGCCTGACCTCTTTCTGTTCATCTTCCATCATCAGCAACCTGGGAGCCTGGGCCAGGAGCAAATCAGACCCTGTCATGCCCTGGTTAACAGCCTCCAGTGGCTTCCGGTCATCCTGGCTCCCAGTCCTGACACGACTTGGACCTGCTTCCTGGACCAACCTCTCCAACTGCCACGTTCACACAGATTCTCCATCCCTCTTGCATCCAGGTCTCCCTGGCGCCCCCCCCCTGCCCCCCCACCGCTCCCTTTCCCTGGGATGCTCTGCACTTGACTCTGGCATGACCTCAAAGTCACTGCTCACAGGTATCGCCACTTTCTGGAAGCTTCCCTCCTCCCCTCTGGGGAGCTCTTCCCCCTCGCTGTCATTGTGGGCTCATAAGTCTCACTCCACCTGTGGGCCGAGGGCTTTTCAGCCTCAATTCCTGGTGCCAGCCAAGTGCCTGAAACACATGGGGCTCAGTGCCTGGAATAAAGAGGAGACAAACAGAGAGACAGACCTATTGTAGAGCACCTGGAGCTCTGCTCAGTGTAATGTCCCAGCCTGGATGGGAGGGGCATTTGGGGGAGAATGAATTCATGTATATGTATGGCTGAGTCGTTTTGCTGTTCACCAGAAACTACATCAACATGGTTAATTGGCTATACCCAATACAAAATTAAAAAATCTAACGTTTGAAAAAAAAAAGGGAGATAGGACTGAGGACTACAGGCAGGGTCCTTGATACAGTCTTCAAGACCCCTTTTTATTTCTTCTCATGTGATCTTACAGCTTTATTCAGTGCTATACTTTATCCTGAAGCCAACATCCAGCTCCCAAGCCTGGGTCACCTGTCCCCAAACAAGCACTCCCACTCCTTTGAACCTTTGCCCATGCAGTTCCCAGTGCTAGAATTCCATTGCCTCTCTTCCCTACCTGGGGAACTCCAGCACATCCTTCAGAGTCCAGTCCCAATGTCACCTCCTCCGGGAAGCCTTCCCTGCTTCTGACGAAGGATGAGCCGTTCCCTCCTTTTGTCCCCACAGCTTTTGTCCTCACCTCTTTAGATACTGAGGCTCAATTTATTGTCTGTGTCTGACCCCTGTTCTAGCCCTTCAACGGGAGGGGACCAGCTCTTCATTCCAGCTCCCCTGAGCCTACCCAGCACCTAGCAGTGCAGAAGATGCACTGGGGGTGTGGGGGCAAAGTGCTCGGGCCCCCACGAGAGCCGTGGAGGCAGGTTCTCAGTGATGCTGCTCTGCATGATTGCCCTCAATGTGGGCGAGGCTCCCCAGCCAAGAGCTTGGCCTGAGCTCCTTGAGGGCAGGGCAGGGGAAGCTGGTGGGAGGAGCTCTGAGTGTACTTAGGTCTCCACACCCCGAGAGGAGAAATCCTATCGCCAGCACTAGGAGAATGCCTGGCGGAGATGGCTAGGCTGCTGGGGGCAGTCTTTCAGAAGCGCCTGAAGGAAAGAAAGGAGAGGGGCAGGAAGACAGAAGATGGATGCTGTCTGGGTTTCCACTAGGACAGATGGTGAATTCTGCCAGCTTCACCTGGTAATGGAGGGTGCCAGGCAGGAATCTGAGGCATGTTATCAAAAGAATGACCTCTGAGCCCCTAGAGGAGAAGCCAGGCCCCTAAGACTGAATCATTGTATGCTGAGCCCACTTCTTTCCTAGGCAGGGTTGCTGGACCAGCAGACCAGGAAGTTATTGCAGACGTCAGGTCTGGAGTGGGTTGCCATTCCCTTCTCCAGAGGATCTTCCTGATCTAGAGATCGAACTGGGGTCTCCCGCATTACAGGCAGACTCTTTACCATCTGAGCCACCAGGGAAGCCCTTATCTGACATTATCTATTACGGAATTATTGTGAGATTTCATAAGGAGACAGAGACACTGTGTTGGTGGGAACTAACATTCCGTGCTATTTTAATTGGTGGGTGGATTAACCTGTGCTCAGAGGGAGCTAATGAAGGGGTCCATGTCATATTAGATGGGCATGTCTAGGGAAGGACCACAGGGCTCCGTCCTCACCCACGTCTGATCTAGTATGTTCACCATTGACTGGAGAGAACTTTGATAACCTGCTGACCAGATTCACTGAGAACACCACTTGGGAAAGTTCAGAAATTCAGTCAGAATCTAAAAAGAACAGACGGAAAAGATGGAAGGAGTCTGAGAAGGTGAAACCGGATAATGAGAAATGCCACGTCCTGATGCTGGGTCCCAAACGAACTTTCTAAAATTGGAGTGAGGTAGATATATGTTCAGAGAAGGCAATGGCAGCCCACTCCAGTACTCTTGCCTGGAAAATCCCATGGACGGAGGAAGCTGGTGGGCTGCAGTCCATGGGGGCACGAAGAGTCGGACACGGCTGAGCGACTTCACTTTCACTTTTCACTTTCATGCATTGAAGAAGGAAATGGCAACCCACTCCAGTGTTCTTGCCTGGAGAATCCCAGGGACGGGGGAGCCTGGTGGGCTGCCATCTGTGGGGTCGCACAGAGTCGGACACGACTGAAGTGACTTAGCAGCAGCAGCAGCAGACGTATGTTAGAAGCAGCATATTTAGGAAGAATTTAGGGGTTTTCAGTGGTCACAGGCTCAATTTGAGTCAATATCATAAATGTGGCTGCCAAAAGTGCATGTTATCTTAGCCTACATCAACAAAAATATAATATCTGGAAGGGGGAAGTGATAAGAATATACAAGTGGTCGGAGGATTTAGGCCAAACCTGGCTGAATATGCTGAGAAGATTGTTAGAAGTAGGTTGGGTTGCCTGATTTTGCAAATAAAAATACAGGATGCACAGTTAAAATAATTTGAATTTCATGAATTTCATATTTGGGGCATCCTCATACTAAAAAAAATATTCATTGTTTATCTGAAATTCAAATTAAACCAAGTGTCTTGTATTTTATATGATTCCTATCTGAACCTACTGAATCAAAATCTCTGAGGGTGAAATTGTCAGTGTTCTCCAGGTGATTCTGATACAGACCATCTGTGGAACAGCAATTGGGAGCCAGTGTCTAGAACAGCAGTTCTCAGATCTTATTAGTGGAGTCACCTGACAGGCTTGTTAAACCATAGATAGCCAGGGTCTTGTTGGTTAGTTGCTAAGTCATGTCCGACTCTTTTGTGACCCCATGGACTGTTGCCCACCAGGCTCCTCTGTCCATGGGCTTTCCCAGGCAGGAATACTGGAGTAGGTTGCCATTTCCTGCTCCAGGGGATCTTCCTGACCCAGGGATCAAACCCGCATCTCCTGATTGGCAGATGGATTCTTTACTCACCTGGAAAGCCCATGGCCAGGATCTACCCCTAGAATTTCTGACTCAGTAGATCTGGGTTGGGTGCTGATAATCTGCATTTCTAACAAGTTTCCTCTTTGCCGGACCTTGAACCCCACTTAAAGGAGCAAGCCCCTAGCCAAACTGGATGGTCTTAGAAGACAAACCCAGGACTCCTGTGAGGAAGTGGACTTCACATAAGCCCAAGATAAGATTTTTTTTTCCCTCCTTAACAATCAAAACTTTACAAAAACTAAGTAGTGGGGGGACTTCCCTGGTGGTCCAGCGGCTAAGACTCCAATGCAGGGGGCCTGGGTTTGATCCATGGTCTGGGAACTAGATCCCACACATGCGGCAACTTAAAAAAAAAAATCTTGCACGCAGCAAGGAAGGTGGAAGCTCCCATGTGCCACAACTAACACCCAGGGCCGCCAAACAAATAAATCTTTTAAAATAAATAAAAGCTAGGTGGCTCATCCCAGGATGAGTGAGTTTCCCAATACAGGAGCTGCTTTTATAGGAGATAGGCTATTATGTTCACTCAACGAACACAGCACACACTCATTTGCCTTCCCTCCCCCACCAACAAACTGGAGATTTGGAGACAAATGAGACCCCATCCTGGCCCTCTGGGAGCTCACCGGCTGGTTTGGGAAACCATAGGTTAATTGCTGCATAGTATGATAGAAGAGAATTTGAGAAGAGTGCATCTCCCACTGGTGGGTCGGGGCAGGCTTCCCAGAAGCGGGCGGAAGGAGCTAGAGACAAGGACACCAGAGCAGCGGGGGCCTGACCAGGATTCAAGAAATAAGCGGACGGACTGGCAAGGCCTGGTGTGGGGTGGAGGAAGGTATCTTGGATGGCTTGGGGGGCCAGGTGCAGCCATTTGCTGTGATGGAGATCATGGAGGACAAACTGGGCTGTGCTAAGGGTGAGGGGCTTGTAGGGTTCAAACAGGCAGCTGTGAGGTCTAGAGCCGTAACCCTGACCCTGACTTGTTAAGATGCTTGGGGACACTGACACTGCGTCTCCTTGGAGACAGGGCAACACAAGGCAAGTCTTTTCTCTACCCTGAATGAGTCTGTTTCTATCTCTGGACCTTTGCTTCACTACTGGACAATGAGGGGCTGGACTCAAAGACCCCACAACTCTTGTCCTGCTCTGGAAGTCTAGGTTATGCTAGCAATGTAAGTATAAGCCAAGCCTTCAGCCTGCTTCCCCCCTGTGTCTGTAGCCAGTGGCCAGAGCCACACCAGCTCCACCCAGAGCTCAGCCTGGGGCCGTCCCAGCACTGGGTCAGATCCCATGGGTAGGCCGGATGCCGGGCCAGCCAAACCCATGTGTGGATTAAGTCATGTGGGGAGGGGAAGCATCTTCCCTTCTGCCAACCAGGAAGTGGTTAAAGGGCCCGAGCCCTGACTTCAAGCCTCACAGCTGAGTCCCTGGGCCTGCCTCCTTCCCTCAGACCCCTGCCTGGGTCCCCTAAGCAGGCCTGGCTGAGGACAGGATGGAACACAGTCTGGCGGCTGGTACCTGCAAGTCCAGCCCTGCTGGTAGACATTAACTGATGGGGCGACAGCCCATCTGTCCTGCAGGGTCCAGCCTGCTGACAGGCACAGAGGTCTCTGAGTTAATGAGATCATCACTCACCGCAGAACTCAGAAGGGTAGATGCTGAGGGCGGGAGTGACCGGCCCAGGTCGGGGGAGATGAAGCAGTGGACCACATATGCGTCTGGGCAGACTCGGTCCTGCCCTGGGGAGCCTGGCTTGAGGCCGGGAAACAGTGCTGTGCCCTTTGGGGACATGAGCTGAGTGACCTTGATCACGTGGCTTAGACTCTGTGCCTTGGCTTCCTTGCTAATCACGCAAGTCACACGTGTTAGTCGCTCAGTCGTGCCCGACTCTTTGCCACCCCATGGACTGCAGCCCACCAGGCTCCTCTTTTCATGGGATTTTCCAGGCAAGGATACTAGAGTGGGCTGCCATTTCCTTCTCCAGGGGATCTTCCCAACCCAGGGATCGAACCTGGGTCTCCTCCACTGCAGGCAGATTCTTTACCATCTGAGCTATGAGGGAAGCCCTCCTTGCTGATGAACTGGAACTAATAACAGCGTCCTCCTTGTAGGGCCGGGGTAAAGGACTAAGGCATGTGAAATGCTAGCACGGTGTCTGGCATGCCACGAATGTCTCATAAGCAGTGGTGATTGTCAGGCGTGACCGTCCTCTTCCGGACGTGGAGGGGGCGAGGAGTCCCTGGACATCCAGATGTCCAGAAGGCTGAGCTATGATTGGGGGATGGGGACTGAGATCCAAGGATGAGCACAGTTGCTGATTGTGGGGGGAGAAGAGGACAGAGGCCGGAGCCCAGGACAAGGGTGACCTGGGTCACTGTCTCCCTGGCCACCACCCCCCCCCACTGGCCTCAGCAAACATCTCCCATCTCACGTGCAGTGTCTCAGTATCCAGCCCACAAGGCACCAACCCAGGGACCCCTTTTGCTCCTGAAGCTTAGAAACTTCTCTCCCCCAGCGGGCAGTATCACTCCCCGGGGGGTCTCCTTCTCCCCGCCCCCCTGCCGGCCAGAGACCCAGCTCCCCAGTGATGATGTGAGGATGCAGGGCTTTCGCACCCTCAAAAGTACAGGTTCCTACAGCTTCACGTAAACTCTCAACCTGTGGTCACATACAATTCAACCACCTTCTTGCCACTGAAGTCTTTCTGCTGTCTCCCACTGGCTCAGGAACAAGCAGCTTTCGATTTGGGATCAGATTAGAGCTCAAGTTCTGCTTCTACCAGCTCTCCCTGGGTGATCAGGGAATGTTACCAAATGTTCCCAAGCCTGAGCTTTCTCATCCATAAAATGGAGACAATAGTCCCTACCTCGAGACTTCCCTAGCAATCCAGTGTTAAAGACTCTGCTCTTCCAACGCAGGGAACACGGGTTCAATCCCTGGTCAGGGAACTAAGATTCCACATGCTGCGTGGAGCAGCCAAAAAAAGAAAAAAAAAAGTGCCCTCCCTCATAGGGTGGTGGGATCACTCATTCTTTCAGTGACAAGCTTGTTCTGAAGACCTGATTACCCCTGTCCCATGCCAAGGGAGCAGAAAAGAGACCAGGGTGGGTCTGTCTTTGCCTGTGATGGTCAGGGAAGGCTTCACAAGGGCAAAGGTGTTTGAAGTGGTCCTGTGAAGGATGAGTCTAAGGAAGGGGGTGGTCCAAGCAGGGGCAGGGTGTGTGTGGCACAGGCTGAAGGGGAGGGACAGTGGGGTCCGAGGCCCTGGGATTAAGAGGGTCAGGATGCAGTGGGGTGTGTGATGGCGACCAGTCTTCCCATGAAGGTGGGGACTGCAAACCCAGGGTTAGCCCTTCCAGAGAAAAAGCTCAGTGTGGACCAAGGTGAGGGAGTGGGAGGGACATGCTTCCTGAGTTTCCTGGAGGGGAAAAAAAAAAATCCTTTGTAACTGTCACAAACGTGATGGAACTGATAAACACACAAGAAACCAGGCACTTAGCCTGTGAAACTAAGTCTGAGTCTTTGTAGAAATGAGTGTGGAACAACAATCGTTTTTGTCAAGATATTTGATGAATCTGGCAAAGAAAATCCATCTCCAGTGTGTCCGAGGAATCTGGGTGCGCCCCTTCCCCACCCCAGTCCCTGCCCTGAAGCCAGGCTGCACACCCGATGCTGGTGAGTGTCCCAAGTGCCTGGTGGAGGGGGTTCTCCAGCCAACTCCTCCCTTCCCTGCGGGACCCTTCTCCAAACCTCCAGCAGGCGTGGGCAGGTAACAGAGGTCATCAGGCCACGGCCAGAACAAACTTCCCTGTACTCCTCCCTGCCCCAGGCGGTGGGGCTGGGGAGTTATGGGAGATGGCCCCTCAGCCCTAAGCGCAAGTCACTTATTCACGTCACAGCTACTCTGTGAATCTGAGGCTCACCAGAGGGGATGCAGGGGGAGAGGCATGGTGAAGAAGCAAGATAACTGCTGGGACGGGGGACAGACAGGTGGCAGAGACATCAACTGAGCTAGAGCGCATTCGTGGAGGAGCATAGCTGGGAGGTCTTCCTGGAGGAGGAATCATGAAACATAAGTAGGAGTGATGGACATGGAAGGGGAGGAAGGATGTCTTGGGCAGTGTGTGGGGCGTGTGGGAAGACAGTTTGGAGAAAAAAAGGGAAGAACCCTGGGCTTGTGCACAGTGGGCCAGGAGGGGCCGGAGGAGCTAGGAATACCCTGCAGGCCGTGGGGACCCCATGAAGGCTGCTGGGCTGGGGAGGTCACGGTCAGCTCTGCATTTCAGAAAGATCTCTCTGGCTGCCTGGTGCCTTCCATGTTGGTGGCTCCTGCCCTGGAGAAAGGTCTGACTCTCAGGGATGGCTCGGTCCACATTAACCAAGACAGATCAGCAAGTGACAGAAGAGCTGGCCTGGGTTCAGATCACTTACTATGGGCCTTAAGGCGACCTGACCTCATTTGTGCTCAGTTCCCTCATTTGTAAAATGGGGTTAATCTAAGCACCGTCTGCAGTTAGGGGTGAGGGAATGAACATATGCTCAGTGCGGCCGTGCCCAGGATCGTAGAAGTTCGGTGTGTAAGTATTTAGTGTCTGTACTACCCATCAGTTCCGTCCAGTCACTCAGTTATGTCCGACTCTTTGCGACCCCATGGACTGCAGCACGCCAGGCTTCCCCGTCCATCACCAACTCCTGGAGCTTGCTCAAACTCGTGTCCATCGAGTTGGTGATGTACTACCCATAAACAACACCAGCTCATCTAAACCGCCACTACAGGCATGAGTTATCCAGGAAGACAGACAGGACAAATCAGAGGTTGATGTGTTTGATAAGGCATCAGATCAGTGTCCGCCTGGGGGGACTAGTGGATTGCCACCCACACGGGCCAGTAGGGACCAGCCTTCACAGGGAAAAAGACGCTGCGGGGCCAGGCCGGGGAGGAAGGCGCTCGGTAGGCTGGCAGCGAGAGGGTTAGCCGAGCGAGCTTCCTCCCAGCCTCCTTGGAGTCTCTCGGGAGGCGCTGGCACTGCTGTTTGTTACCCAACCCTCGAGAAGACGCTGCAGGGGGGAGGGAGAGAGCTGAAAGCCTTCTCAATTATTCAACAGTCGGAGCTTCCTGCTGCTCCTGTTGGAGACAGGGGAAGGCCGGCTAGAGCCCCCGGGCTGGGTCTGGCTGGCTTGGGGGGAGGGCTGGTTGTTGGAGGGACAGACAGCCTGGACCTGGGCCGCAGCCCTCACGGTCCCACTCCTGCCCACCCTGCTCCAGCGCTGTCTGCGGGGAGGGGTGGAGGGGGCAGCCGTGCCTGGCAGGCAGGCTTGGAGCTGTCTCCTGCCCTGCAGACTCAGACTGTGCTGTGGAATGGAGGCAGCGGGTTGGCCAGGTTCCCAGAGCCAAGGTGGGGTGTCCGAGGGAAGCCAGGGAGGAAGGGCATGTCCGCTGTCCGCAGGAGAGGGCCAGGCAGCTTAGCTGGCACCTGCGTCCTGGGCAACCTGTCCAGCCCCCCTGTATCTCAGACACGTGGGGCTCTGAGCCACCCAAGAACATGCTGGCCAAGCTGCTCCCTGTGGCTGGAGCGCGCTTCCCTTTCTGGTTTATCCTACAGAGCTCTGCTCAGGCATCACCTCCTCCGTGAAGCCCTCCCAGACTTCCACTGGGGGAGGCGCCTCTGCAGTGCTCCCAGAGCCTCACCCTGCGATTCCCACCCTCAGTGTTTACTTTGCTCTGTTGTGACCATGTGCCCCCTGACCTGGTAAGGGCTATCTAAGGGCAGGGACTGGGTTGTGTCCATCTTTGTGCCCCTATTGCCCAGAACAGAGCTTGGCACAAAGCAGCCATCTGTGAATATTTGTTGAAACCCAGCCTGTGATGGGGAGCTCACTACTTGTTCTTTTTTCTTTTTTTTTTAACCCCTTCCATCTCTGGGGACCTCAGTGGCAAAGGTTCCTGGTTACCACTCTCATTATGCCCAGACTTTACATGTGTTGATATTTTCAAAGGCCACATGGTCACGTCCTTGGGAAGCCCTGGAGTCCAGCTCTGTCATTGAATGGATAGGAAGGCCCTGCCTGGCACGTAGGCTCCTGCCCACCAGCCCTGGGCCCTGTCTTTGCTCCTGTTGGCTCTGATTTGAGTTCCTAGAGCAGAGGGCCTGGATGGCAGGTCCCCAGGGACAAAGAGGCCTCAGCTGTCTGCTCCCTACAGAGCGACCCACAGTAAAAGCAAGATAGCCTAAATGAGACCAGTGCAGACCACTGTAACCCAGGACAGGCCATAGAGGAACCAGGAGTTCAGATTAGATGCTTGCTCCTTGGAAGAAAAGCTATGACCAACCTAGACAGCATATTAAAAAGCAAAGACACTACTTTGCTGGCAAAGATCCGTGTAGTCAAAGCTATGGTTTTTTCACTAGTCGTGTATGGATGTGAAAGTTGGACCATAAAGAAGGCTGAACACCAAAGAATTATGCTTTTGAAATGTGGTATTGGAGAAGGCTCTTGAGAGTCCCTTGGACTGCAAGGAGATCCAACCAGTCAATCCTAAAGGAAATCAGTCCTGAATATTCATTGGAAGGACTGATGCTGAAGCTGAAACTCCAATACTTTGGCCACCTGATGCGAAGAACTGACTCATTTGAAAAGACCCTGATGCTGGGCAAGATTGAAGGCAGGAGAAGGGGATGACAGAATATGAGATGGTTGGCTGGCATCACTGACTCAGTGGACATGAATCTGAGCAAACTCCAGGAGATAGTGAAGGACAGGGAAGCCTGGCGGGCTGCAGTCCATGGGGTTGCAAAGAGTGGGACACAACTTAATGACTGAACAACCACAAAAATGCAGGGAACCCACAGACCATTGCAGACCAGTGGAACAGAGAGAACTCACAATACTGGTCACTGAAAACAATATAGACCAGTTCAACCCAGGAAGCAGCCCGTATAGACCAGTACTTGTATCAGACAAGCAAGCTGTGTTTTAGGCTCCCCTCCCCTGTGTTTTAGTAGAACAAAAGAATCCCTGCCCCCACCCAGCCCACTCTATTTCTTTTCACGGCCCTCAGTGGCCTTCAGAGAACTGTAGACTTCCAGACAGGGAACAGACAGCCACAGATTCCCTGTGGCTGCCTGAGCGCGAATGGAGATTTGGGGTTGCAGGGAGGAGACTGAGAAAAGAACCTTATCATGGCTGAGCTGTCACTGATGGCCTGGACTGCCAGGGAAGTGGTGACGTCTGTGTCTGGGGAGGGTTCAAGCCAGATGGCCTTGGGGTAGTGTCCTAGAGAGAGCCACCTAAGGTGTCAGGACACCATGTTCTCCGAGGACTCTCCCAAGCTGGCCTCTGGGGCTGAAAGGGAGAGTCGCTCAGTCGTGTCTGAGTCTTTGAAACCCTATGGATTAGACAGTCCAGGGGGCTCTCCAGGCCAGAACACTGGAGTGGGTAGCTGTTCTCTTTTCCAGGGGGTCTTCCCAACCCAGGGAGCGAAGCCAGGTCTCCCGCACTGCAGGTGGCTTCTTTACCAGCTGAGCCACCAGGGAAGGCCTGGAGTAAAACCAGAGGTGCCCCGAGTTGTCATCAGCTTCATTATTTCCTTAACCCACTTCTTCCCCCCACAAAGGTCAGACCCACCCTGGTTCACACCTGAGAGCTGGGTTAAGGAAAGGGAAGATAATAAAAGCATTCACCAAATAGAAAAAAAAAAAAAAAAGGAAAGGGAAGATGGGCTAGAAGCTGTATGACCAGATCTTTTTCTGCTTTTCAGGCTTCAGTTTCTCCATCTGGACTAAGCACTGGGGCCTGGATACTAGTGGGGCCAGGGCAGGGCTGGGCTCTGAATTCTTGGCAGCCCAACACTTGGAAGAGTCCAAGCTGGGTGGTGATGTACCCCATGCCCCTGTTGGAGCTATCAGCAGGAAGGGTGTGTGCTGGACAGACAGACAAGCCCCTTCCACTCACTGGGGAGGGTAGAGCAGGGAGACAGGGCAGCTGCCTCTGCTGCCCACACAATCTCATTATGGAAAATTCCCTCTATTGACTCAGCTTTAATCAGGCAGGCTGCCCTGGGCATCCCCCCCAGGTTTCTGCTGGGCCGGGTGAGATCAAAGAGAGAGTCGGGCTGGGGGCTGGAGCCTCGTCTGCCATTCCCATCGATCCAGATGCGCCTCTTGTTGCTAGGCAACCGCCTCCAGTCTCTTCTGGTCCTTCCTTCCCCAGGGGCTGCAGGATCGGGCAGCAAAGGGGGAGAGAGACCCCACATTCATCCTCTAAGTCTTCTCACCGTTCTTGAGACCTCTGTCATCAAGCCGGGAGCCTTCCTCACGCCCTGAAGGACCCGTCATCCTGGGAGCTTGACTCTCCCACCAACACGGACCTCCTTTCTCCCCTCACATTTGTATTCATCTCCAGAATACTCGAAACCCACACCTCCTATGCCCCCCGTAAGCATGTCAGGAAGCTAGGCCAGGGATTCACCAGAGAGGGGGAAGGGACCCTCTGGAGTTGGGGGGGTCAGTGAAGAAGTCCAGACATGGCTGCAGGCTACCATCTTCCAGCCCAGCATTGGACTAGATGTGGGAGCCATTTAATCTTGAGAGAATGGCTTTGAAGACAAATTCACACTTTCAGTTTTGAGTGGGTTGCCTTTTTTTTTTTTTTCTTTTTCCAAAACGTAGGATGCATTTCATAGTAGTTTTTTCTTTTTTGTTTCAAGTGCTATAATTTAAAACTGTAAGTTGTGTTTTAAAACAGGTATAAAAATGTACTGTGGGTTTTGGGGGCTGTCATTGACTAAATAATGCAAATCGGATCATTTTATCACAATTTAATATTTTGCATCGTTGATCTACCCTATACTGCTTCATCTTTCCCTTCCTAAAAAACCGAATGTGTGTACGTCATCCCCACAGTTGTTAGGTGGTGACCTACTTACATCACAGCTTATTTAGGATTTTAAGGTCTCTCCCCACTCTGAGGTCTTTGTAGCCCTTGGGGATGGAAAGTACTCACTCTTGCCTCTGGTACTTCATCAGACTTTTTTTTGTTTGTTTAAATGCAACTATGGGAAAGGAAGTGGTAATGCAGTTCCCAAAGCATGAAGACCCAGGACTCAGGTGTCCGAGGACCGTCCCCCTGAGCTGCCAGGAGAGGCACCACCTGGGCAGCCATCCTGTGCCCTCCGTCCTGCCCCTGCCTGCCGCCTGCTCCCCCAGCTCCGCAGGGCACTGATAACTCGGCCCCACGCCCCTGCCCAGACCCAGTCACACGCTTCAACTCTGAGCGGCACCGCTTTCCAGGGTCCTTGACAAATGGTAGCCAATTAATGTCAATTAATCTGATTAGCCTAAATAGTTAATTAAGCAGTTAATTAACAACATCATTGACAATAACCTATGGCTCCCGAGGGATGGTGGGTGGGAGGCAGGGATGGCAGGGGGGCGGGGGGGCCCTCCTTGCTCTGGGAAAGGACAAGCCGGGTAAGTTCACAGGGAGAATGGGGGGGTCACTCTGGCAGCTGTGGCCTCTCCGAGTCCCCACCTGGCTCTGCCTTGGGCCCCATAATCTTCATCAGGGGGTTCGACCCCACCCTGGCCACAACCCCTTCCCGGGCCCCCGGCCAGATCTGAGAGTCTGATTCTACGAGAGGCTGAATCTCAGCACAGCAGAGGAGGCAGAAAGGCATCCTATCCGGGAAATGGTTCCACCCCAAAGTCGGAGCGAGGAGCTCCCCCCTCTGCTGCCTCGCCCGGCCCCACCCCAGTCCGTACACCTCAGAGTTTACAACCCCCACCAGGGCCCTGGACTCGCCCAAGCTGCGGAGCAGTCTTGGAGGGGAATTGCCCATTCTACAGATGAGAAAAACCGAGCACCTCCCACATGCCTGGCCCTCCGCTTGCTCTGGGCACCTACGACGAGGAACAGCACAGGGCTGCTGCCCTCAAAGAGCTCCTCGTCTGGGACATCACAGAACAGCGCAGGCTCTTCGCAGCCTCTTTGCTGGGTGACGCTGGGTGACGCTAACTATCCCTCTGTGCTTCAACAGCCTCTGCTGTAAGACGTTGCGA